GGTCCTGTGACCCCTGTAGAGGTCAGGAACTCAGCAATGTTAGGGGTCAGTCTGAATGGTACTGGTCTATTGGCATCCAGGTCTCCTGAAAAAGTAGAGTATACTGTCAGTGTTATAATTGTTATGTGTGAGTATGTATCTAACTCAATTTTTATGAAGACATCCTTTCAACTGTTAATATGGATTTACAATACTTTAGGGTGATTATATAGCCAATACTGATTGCAAATAGTATCTTTTTTTTCTACATTCTGTATTGAAACAGATGCACCAATGTAAAGTAAAACATGCTGTTAACAATAAGAACAAGGTTTCTTTTTCTTTTTTTTCAATTTGAATCTAATCTGGCTTGTTACCTAAAGTTCCAATTCTAAGCAAAACAGTAATAAAATCCCAATCAAATACGGTACAGGTCATGTTCCCAAAATATTGTGGGGAAAAACAAAACAACAACAACAGTTCATAATTTATCTAATATATGTCTTTAAGATAATGGATTTTCATATTTGAAAACTTTATCATATTATTATAATTCAAAAAATTCTTATTTGGTTGTTTGGTTTTCAAGTCACATTTTCAATGTAAAAGAAGAAATCATAAATGAAGACCTAGATGAATTCAAACTCATAGTTAAATCTACGTGTCTGATTGTGAGACCACCTGGCAACTAAGCCTCCACAAACTTTACGCTATGAACATCATCCTCCATCTTTAACTATAAGAATGAAATGGCATATTATCTAGTAAATTTTCACATACCTGACTGGTCATCAATATCAAACTTGAAGTAGGAGATGTTAATATAACCACAATCTTGATGTAGGTACATCATGTCGGGATTCATTCTCGTCAGATGTAACACAAACTCGGCAAAACCCATCAATGCCAATTGTACAGTAAACTGCAAATAAACAGGTGATACTGTTGGAAAGATGCTTTGAAATTTTATACTGGAAGCCTTCACGAGTATATAAATGGGCTGCAAGCTATATATATATATTAATACATTTTATACACTTGTTATAATGAAGTGGATAATGCACAGATCACTACTTACCAAACTTGCTTGCCATACTTACTTAGCTTACTCACAATACCTGCTCACTAAGATATATACATTACTACCTTAACTTACTGTAGAATTCCTATTAAATGCCACAATTTTTCCAAAAAGGGTAATGGGTGTTTTTTTAAACACAGTTTTTCCTAAATCCAAAAATCATTGTAAGTATGTTTATATGTTTGGTGTTAAGCAAGTTCTTTTAGTGATGTTAAAAAATGTTATTTTATATGATATATTTTTGTGTTTACTATCAGATAAAATGGATTCTGAAAGATTTGAATAAAATTATGGATTTACTCTTGAGTTGAGCACTGGTGAGTAGATTTTTTCCTTATCAAATAACCTGGGTAGGGGGGGGGGGGCTTTATAAGGAGAGGGGCTTTTTATAGGAATTCTATGATAACTTTCTTATTTAACATCTAACTTTCCCACTCATATACCAACTTTACTTTCTTACCTAACGGTTAACCTTCTTAACTTAGTTCTTTTCTATCTTTCCTTCCCTACCCTAACCTACATTCTTACTTACTTCTACCTTATCTACCTCACCTGCTTTACCCATATCATGATAAATATCTTAAACGCACCTGTCCATTTTTCAATCTGGACAATTCCACTTATCATTCCTAGATTAAATTTAAAAATATGTACTAACTGAACAGCAAAGATGCAGACCATGATCAGACAGCACAGATATGCCAACTGACCTTTGTCTGCACTAGTTGCATTGGCAGAATCTCTTACCACAGTTAATTATCTATGGATATGAATCACAAAACAATATTCTACAATAATATAATCAATAGAAAAAATCTTATATCTATAAGTTGGGGAAAATACTTACAGTTTTTCTAAATATCCAATAATCAGTCGCATCAAGGAATGTATGAAGTGCCCATTCTTTTAACAGTCCACGTGGAACCATGTTATTTTGGACCTCTTTAAGTATATCCCGCAGCACCTGGTGGCTGGCCTGTGTGCCGCGCGCCTGTACTGTCAGTAACCTCTCGTAATATCTAGCAATAGGGGCGTCGTGCTCGATACTTCGCTTATTACATCTCTACAATATTGAATCAAATCATTAAATTATAATGTATTTTGTACCATAAGCCTCAAATTACAAAATACTAGTAAGCTGAAGTGAGAATACAACAAAACTACACTTCAATAAACCATTTTGGTACTAATTTTACACTTTTCTTCCAATTTCAAATTGCTGAAACTTTTCTCAAGATATTACTTTAAATATTAGTAACTAGTTTAAGTACATGACAACTAATACTCATCACAATAAAGACACCTGTCCTTTTTATGCAAGTCATATTTGTATCTCTGATCAACAAACTAAAATGGGACATTCAGATTCAAACATTTCAATCAATGTTAACCGGAACTCAGCAAATGTATGTTTATCCCATCTAAAACCTAGGTAAAAGCAAGACCACTATTGCCTCAAGATGCCCTTCACAAAAGAAAGATCATTGTGTTGCACTTATTATCGATATATTTACCAAGTTAAAACTAAGTATGTTTGTACCATGGAATTATGTAGGAAAAACACATTTTCGCCGAGTTTCAGAGTATATGATTTGTTTAATATGAAGACAGGTCATATGGGGCCGAAACAGGAAAGATGACTTTGGCTAACCTCCGTGTTACAATTTTAAAAGCAACACCAGATCTCAGAACCTGTTGGAGCTAAGAGATGCATAAACTACAGTAATTTGAAACCCATTTAGTCGCCTCCTACGATCTCACAAGGATAAACTGTGGCTGCAATTCTTATGCCTTAGCCATATAAGGCATTCCCTCAGCCACAAAGGGCACAGGTTTTCAAACCTTTTTGTACTGTTATGTTACATGTTTTTGCAAAGTTTAAGATAATTCCATAATTCCGTCATGACCTTGTAAGCTACACTGGACAGAGGAATATAAAAATATTGTATTTTACTTTATATAACTATAAAACTGATGGTAACAAAACTCGGTATTTCACAACAAGCTACTAACCTGTTTGTATACATCAAGTAGTGAAACAGAGGCAGGGTTATCTTCGACAAGTCTCATCTGAGGGGAGACTGCTACGACCCTTGGCACTGTGAAATACAACATACGTCTACTCGTCTCCTGAAAAATTATATAAAAAGTGTCTTTCGGTTGTGGAAACGGAAAGGAATTATACATCCGGTGATTGGTATTTATACCCGACCCCAGTAGTAATAATCAAACAAATTTGATTATGTGAATATATAGCATCAAGAAAAACCTAATTATTTGTACAAAAATAAACTGGTTACTTTGTGGCATACAATTGATGCATCTTTTACGAAAGAAAGACATTTGGAAATTAATTTTAATTTTTGCATTTTGTAAAACATTTCCAGTTTATTCTGTCCTATACATACAGCCTCATGGCATTATGTTTTCAGTAAATGTTTCTAGTAGCAACATTTTTCCTAACACTCAAATGACTTTACCCTATCTTGAAATGGGTGCATGTTTATGCAAGTTAAAAATTTTATTGGATTAAAGAAATGGGTCAATATATTTTTTTAATGGATTTTACGTTGCAAAAACACAGTACAGGTCATTATCCCCCAATCTCATAATGACAATTTCCCAGCTTTACCGGTGGTGGAGGAAGACCACAGGTGCCCCTCTTGTGCATTATTTCAGGCACAAATGGGCACCTGAATAGAACCACTGACATTAGGTAAGCTAGCTGGATAGCTTTCTCACATCAAAGAACCCAAAGATGCATGGCTCAAACCTAAAGCAGTGAGAGGCAAGCAGTTTGAAGACAACAACCTTAACCACTCAGACACAGTCGCCCCTTAATAGATCTAAATTCTATGAGAAACAGCAAGTAAATGTGACACAAGAATAGGAAGAACAAACAATGAACTATATGATCCATAGAAAAAGTTAGGGAAGCATCAAAATCTATGTATACCTTTTGTTTTGTAAGGAAATGATTCAACATCCTCAACAACTGGAGCACTCTCTCCTCCCTACGAGATTCTGTGAGGCAAGCATCATTTACAACTAGGTACGGGTAAATCTGAATAATAGAACAGGATAATAATAAGAATAAATATAATAATAAATATTGTGATAATTATTTGTTACAATTTAAGAAAAGAAGTTTGACAGATATTGTCACAGCAACAAAAACTTTGTGAAGTGAAAACTTTAAAATCATGATCGTAGGTAAATTGAAAATTTTATCTTGGCACTCCATAAATGCCAATCTTAGGAAAGGTAATTGGAATATGTATTATTCATATGTGGAGGGTTAATTTTAACAGTTTGCTGTAAGGTAGGAATGAAAATCACTAACATCCTATGAGCGTGGACAAACTAATTCACGCTGCAGCAATGGCTAAATAAAACAGATTAAAACTGTGCAAGTTAGTATGCAAGAAGATAATAAAACAAGGCAAAACAAGAGCATTGCATATGATGTTAAGGCTTGTCTGCTAAAAATTTTTAAGTTAAAAAGGGGCATAACTTTAAAAATATAAAGTAAGTAAAAGCTTAAAGAAATGGATAATATACCTTTCCATTATGACCTCGGATATAAAGACGTCTAGCAGCAGTATTATGTTTCTGTACAATCTCCACTCTAGGCATAAACCTTGCTATCCTCACATAGTAGTGACTATGCTGTAATTAACAACAGTATATTATATCATAGAATTGCAATAAACAATATTTAGTTTATCTTGTTTTGTTTGGTTTTATGGTGCACCAACATAATTAAGGTCATATTGCATCAAAACAGGAAAGATGATTTTGGCTATTACTAATGTAGTAAATGACCTTCACAAATTTGAATAATAAAAGTACCAAAACTCTAGATCCATTGAAATTTTTATGAAAATCATGAAAGTACAGGTTTGCCTGGCTCTATACTGGTAGCAAAGGCTAATCACTTTATGTTCCACCTGATAAAGAGTAAATACTCAAGTCTGACTATAACAAAATAAATTTCAGTAAATTTCAAAGTTAAAATAATCTCAAACCAACCTTTGGCAGTAGAAATTCACCAGGTAGTTCCACCTCAGCCGTGTTGAGAGAGAAATTACTCAAGAATCTACACTTCTCTTCGATCAAAAATGACCTGAATAAAAAATTATCATCAAAATATGTCAAAAATACTTATAGGAATAAATTGCATTTTCTTGTAGCAAGCCTATCTTTGTACTTATTCTTCATCATTGACAGGTCTTCTTTGAAATCTGAACACTACATTAATAGTTAGAAGGATTTCAGTTTCAAATTACAATATTTCCATCGACATGCTGGCAGTTTTAAGTAAAAACTTTTAAAAGTTTTAAGGTTCGACTGCTCTGATGTGCAGACATGCCTGACTCTATACTGGTGTCATAGAGTATTCATTGTTACACATCACTTCAAGTACTTTAATGCTTAATCTAATCAAAGGTATACAAAGCTGTATTCAGAAAAAAATTCAGAAGCAAAAAAATGGCTTGTCATGTTAAAAAAATTCTGAAAATACTTACTTTGGTAACAATTTTGTCTTGGCTTCCAGAATTTTGATCCATTTCTTAAGCTTGTTAATAAGATTGTGAAGTTTCGTTGAGCCTGGTACACTGAAATAAGAATACAGAATATCAATCACAGATCTCTAGATCAGAAAACCAGACGCAGTTTGTCTACTTTAGTGACCAATTTTTCTTTGGTGGCTTTTAAGCTATTTAAGGGCCCCATAAAAACATTTGTCACTAAGAGGCTTCCACTATCTTATTCCAGGTATTGTATTATTATGAATAACTGCACCTAGATCAAGGGTATGAAATAGCTAATGATAGGGTTTTTTTTTTCAATTGTAAGACAGCAAGTCATATAAACTGACCAGTTTCCTTACCACATGGTAAAATGGACAAAAGGACAGAAATTTTTAGCTATATTAAATGCCCTACAAGGGTTGATACCAATTATAAGCAGATATAATTTATGAAATGTATAGTATATAAAGGAGCTCATCGCTAATTCATAAGACAATACCTGAAATCAAAGTCTGTTGTAAACTGGCTTTTCATCTTCTGGAAGATTGGATCCTGTGCCGTGGCCTGAGCTCTCCTCGCCAGAGACTCGGACGCGGCACTAGAGAAAGTGGTGACTACGTTAGAAACGTTCTCGATACCAACACCAAATGTACTGACCAACTTCTTCACAAAGTTGAGGGTATGTGGAGTAATTGTAGCATCAGCAACTGAAACAATAAAAAGAATTGCAAAATAAATGCTTGATTTCTACAGATTCTTTTTACAAAAGAATGTTTATATAGTTTTTACTCGATTGAAGCAGTGGCCTAGTGCTAAAGGTGTCAGCCTCTCAACCCAGAGATCATGGGTCTACTTAGGTCACCACCATGTTTCTTCATATGACATCAGCACTGGTTGGTTCCAGGAGGCGGACTCGAAAGTAATTACTATAAGTTGCAAGAAGTTGTTTTGCAATCAAGCTTAAATAAATATGTTTAAACTAACTCAAATGGTACCATTTTGGCCAACAATTTATATTTTTCTAATAATCAGAAATCAGAATGTACTGAATGTAAATGAAGATATTTATGTTTGTTTGTTTGTTGTTTCATTTTACACCTTTTCCCAACAGTATTTCAGTCATATAGGCGGGTAGTTTCCTAACCATCGTTCCTGGAGAGTTACGCCAGTACTAGACTACCTTCCTCCGCGCTAAAGTACCAAAGCATCTCCCGGGGATCAAACCCACACCCAGAGAGGTAACTGGATTAAAAGTCATCGACTCTAACCCCTGGACCACGGAGACGGTTAGATATTACTGAAGATATTATCAAATGAAAATAAACTATAGTCAAACCTGTGCATAAAACCATCCCTGATCGAAGATTATATATCAACTACTAGTTGGCCATTATTAAAATAGTTTCCAATTTCAAAAATACACCAGTCCTGTCATATCAAACCATTTTCCCCCCTTACAAAAAGGTTTGTTGGGCTGTATATTACTTAATCAAAAATTTTAAGAATTAAAATGTTATGAGCAGATTTCAGATAATTTTTCTTACATAAAAATATGTCTTTTTTTCACTTACCTGAAGCTCTATTTTCAAATGCTACAGCGTAACATTTCGCCAGACCTTGACGTAGCTGGCGGAGGACCTCCTCATACCAGTTCTCCCGGAACCAGACCATCTGGTCAACGATACCTTCCAGCGACGACAGGATAGTCGGGTGAAGCTCGCGCTGCATGTGCATGATTCTGCTGCACCGCCACATCGGAGCTGGTGCACGTATCGGGCCGGCATCCGACTGACTTGAGCTGCCTCGTCCCGAGGCGGAACTACTGGCAGTGGTGGTAGATGTGGCGGTTAAAGTGGTGGAACCTGAACTTACTGTGTCTGAAAATATTACAAAGTTTTGTCACAATGAAGTATTTTTTCATCATCTTTATTTTCAAAAAATGTGTAATGCACAATACTTGGAAAGTCATAACTGAATGCATACGCTACACTGATTCCTAAACTAGCCTATGCTTTAATGTCATTATATCAAAACTGAACAATAAATCAAGTCTATTTCATTAGATTTATGGCAGAATATGGCTCTTATTGGCTTGAAAAGTTCACAACTTTCTCCTGCCAAAACTTCAATTTTTTTTTCTTCAGAACTAATGCATTATTTATTAATAGATAGATTGTTAGATGTAACAGAAAGTTTAATTTTAGTGGATAGCTTTGTCACATGGAATATATCAAAAGTTCCTAGTGGGTAAAGGGCAAGTGATTCAAAGTAGGGGTGTTACATTTATCAGTTTAAACTGGAACATCAGTTTTTAGCTAAAAAACAGGTTAGGAAAATCAATAACCAGTAACCAAGGTTAATATAAGACAAAGCACTGATTCTTTAAAAACTAGAAATGTGTCATCATGCCACGGATGCCCCCGCATGCAGCCAAAATTTCAGATGTTATAATATTTAGTTCCAAATTTGTTTGCACAAATTATTTTTTTCATTTTAAGTTCAAAGCCCTTAAAACTTTTCAATGTTAACACAAACCATTTCCATACAATGTTCAAGGCACTGAAATTATTCAGTCTTAACCTTATTGAACCATGACCAAATTTGAACTTGACCTGCGCATTTCTTTGACATATCCATATGTCAAGTTTGAGTTGAATATGTTGTACCGTTGGGGAGATAATGAACGGAAACTGAAAATTTCATATTATTTTCAAAGTAAAAGGGGCATAACTCTGCCAAAAATCATCGAACCATGACCAAATTCGAACTTGACCTGTATTTTATCATGACATATCCATATGTCAAATTTGAGTTGAATGTGTTGTACCGTTGGGGAGATAATGAACGGAAACTGAAAATTTCATATTATTTTCAAAGTGAAAGGGGCTTTACTCTGCCAAAAATCATTGAACCATGACCAAATTTGAACTTGACCTGCGCATTTCTTTGACATATCCATATGTGAAGTTTGAGTTGAATATGTTGTACCGTTGGGGAGATACTGAATGGAAACTGAAAATTTCATATTATTTCAAAGTCAAAGGGGCATAACTCTGCCAAAAATCATCAAACCATGACCAAATTCGAACTTGACCTGTATTTTTTCATGACATATCCATATGTCAAATTTGAGTTGAATGTGTGCAACCGTTACTAAGATAATGAACGGAAACTGATGATGACGGAATGACAGAATGACGGAAGGACGGAACAGGGTAACACTATATGCCCCGGCCATTACATGGCGGGGGCATAAAAATAATTCTAAACACTACTTTAGTTTTTAATAACAAGATATGACATTCTATTTATATTTCAGTTGTTTTCTCAGCTTGCATGCTATCTTATCGTGTACGGTATTGCTCTTACGTAAAATAGTTACTTTATAATTAGACTTCTATAGTAATCATTGCGAGTAGTCAACAAAATACGAACAAAATGTCATATCTTGTCATAAAAAACAAAGTTAATGTTGGAAATCTAAGAATTTTATTACTATGGTTGATTGAACATTGAACATGCTTATTTTGGTAGCTGTTTAAATGTTTATCATTTTTGCTAACCGTGACACCTCTAATTCAAAGTCACTCATTTAAACCAACACCTAAACAGTTATCTAATGGATTAAGATTAATATTGTATATGTTACCTGTAACCGAGAGTGTGGGTTCCAGCGTGGTTGGTACAACAAGTCCTGGTGTTGTAGGTGACATTATCTGACTACTGGAACCGGAACTTGTTGTCGTGGCAACCTGAGAATTACTCCTGCTTAATGTCATCTCTCCACTCTTGTCTGTAAACACATGAATATGAAAATTATTTATCTCTGATGATAAATTCGCATTACTTAATATTCATGTCAATTCAGTATGACAGCATGCTCGACTATTATTTGTGCTTAATAGTAAAATAAGAGCCTAGATAATGTAGAATTTTCAAAGTTTAAAAAGGGCTATGATTCTGTCAAAATCCATGTTTAGAGTTATGGACCTAGAATAGTGACCTCCTATTATGATCTTAAATAAATGTGTGAAAATTTAACCCATTCCCAAGAAGTTTTAAAGATATCAAATTGCAAATATAAACTTAACCAAAATGTGACACTGACGCTAAGGTGAGTACAATAGCTCTCCCTATTCTTACAATAGTTAACCTTAAAATACAGCTCTAGTTATTGCTCTGTGTCTAGCATAATTACAAGCTGTATAAACTATATGCACCATGAAGCCAAATGTGAAGTTTTAAATAAATAAATACTTTTTTGTACAAAGGACATACATTTAAAACCTTTACAAGGAATTGTCGAAAAATTACAATGATACTTAATCTTGTTTCCTCATCATCAACAATGTCACTTTTCAAAAGAAGTCAATAAAGTTAACATTCATAATTGTCATTCAAACTTACATCTTTCTCTTTGTTCAATTTTAAGTGTCAAGTATAAAGTCCTTATTGGGAAGTAGACAGCTTGTGGGTACATCCTTCCAACTTGACTCAACAGGTTCATAATTAGACGTCCCTCATTTCTAACCAGGCACGTCAACAACTGCGGAATCCTAAAACACACAAAAAATATAAATATATATCTCACAAAATTTGTTTTGATTTTAATTTTTTTTTTGAGAATAACCCATATTGATTCACTGATTTACTTATAGCACTGAAAAATATAAAATACTTAAAACCATAGATTATTTTTAACCTAGCTTGGCCACTATTTCATATTATCAAAGTCAGTATGCCAACTGGCATCTTTGAAAGTAGCTTTTACCATTCAATCATGATGTCCCACCTTCAACTTTACACCTTTAACTTCTTGAAATAGTGGAATGCTGTCATAAAAAATTAAACTGTGATGAAAAGTCAGGTCATTCTTAAGTCTACATTTCACTAGATGGACATTACCACAGACTGTACAGCTTCACCCCTGATCATTAAACTACAAGTGTATCATATACCAGTCACCAGCATAAAAGATTTGCTCTACATATACAACATATATTATAGCAGCCACTATCAATGATCAATAATATCATACAATAACATTTTGAAAATACTTTTTATAGAGGTATATAATCAAAATGTCACATGACGCCAAAACAGAAAAGATGATTTTGGCTAACTTCTAGTGTTACAAACTTAAAGCAAAGCCAGGGATCAAAACCACCTTGACTGCTGGAGTTAAAAGGTACATAGACACCAGATATTTAAACCCATTCAGCTGCATCTTATGATTGATCAGGGATAAACGGTGGCTGCAATTCTGATGCCTTAACCCTTAAAGGCAACCCTACAGACACAAGGGGGATATAACGACTTTAAATTGAACCAGTCTTATGCATTTACCAAGGCAACCACTGTACTGGCGGAACTCCTACACAGTATTTGTCCACCGCCTCGGCCAAGGTAGATTTTTCATCATCATACGTCAGTAACCAGAGAACTTTGGCCAGGTATTTCCGTGACTTGCTCTCGTTCTGGTGCCGACATGCATGCAGGAAACACGTGATAGCAGATACTCCAAGGTTGATTTGTCTACAAAATATTTAATACAAACATATACATGTATATATCAAGTGCAACATGACTTATAATTTGCTACTGCCAATTTCTTTAAACATATCTCTCGATTTTAAAAGGCACTATGTCTTTCAATCATTTTCAAGTATATTGACAGCAACTTCATAACACTTTTTAAGCACTTTTCAAGATAATAAATAAATTCAATGACTTTTAAGCACCTTTTTTCCATATTTAAGCATTTTTTAAAGAAAGGGACTAAAATTTCAGCACTTTTCAAGACAGTAATCAAATTCAAAGACTTTTAAGCAACTTTTTTTCATTTTTAAGCACTTTTTCAAGAAGGGGACTAAAATTTAAGCACTTTTCAAGACAGTAATCAAATTCAAAGACTTTTAAGCACCTTTTTTCCATATTTAAGCACTTTTTTAAGATAGAGACTAAAATCTAAGCACTTTTCAAGAGAGTAATCAAATTCAAGGACTTTTAAGAACCTTCTTTTCATTTTTAAGCACTTTTTAAGAAAGGGACTCAAAATTTGGCACTTTTTAAGACTGTTCCAACCCTGCTAATATGGAAATAAACAACATTAAACTCAGTGTCACTCACTTGTCCCTGGTGAAGACAGATTCAAGATAATCTCCCCACAATGCCCATGCTTTAACTAGAGTATCATGCATCTGTACAGCTGCCGAGAACGACTTGTTAGCATCATCAGAGCGACCTGTCTGGGCTAGGAACATTCCCTTCAGGGCATAAAACTCTGCTGTCATCTCTTTAGTGAAGTATTTCAGATTGGTTGACTCTATAACCTCTAGTCCCTACAAATTTCAAATACAAATTAAATATATCAGTTTTATTTCACAAATGTACTAACAGCAAACCAGAAATTGATTAAGTTCAGAAAAGGGAATTGTTCAAGTACTCAAGGATTGCTGGTTGCACGGGTTCAAACCCTTTCAGGGTCAAGCCATTGTCTCTGTGAGCAAGAAACTTTATATTCACTGCTAATTACTGGTTGGTTCCAGGATTTGAGTGTGTTTCAATAAGCTTATAGCTTCCAACACAATCAAACTAAAATAAATTTTGTATAAACTAAATTGAAACATTTAGATTTGTCTACTGGAACATACAAGTCAAAATCCTAGGAAATCTTTGTGAAAATGTTGTTATTTTTAAAGTGTATAAACTAAACTGAAACTTTGAAGTCTGTCTAACTGAAAGATACAAGTAAAAATTCTTGGATTCTTTGTTATTTTTAATTTAAGAGAAAATACTTACTTCATTTAACTCAGGCTTGCCCATGGATCCAGCCATCTGTAGGTAACATTTCACTTGCTGCCTAATCTTCTGGAAACAGTCCACTATCGGAACACTGGGTATTGTGTGAATCCTGTCATAAAAGTTATGCGGTGATTTTTAGTTATGTAAACAAAGCATATTAAGGAAAGGATAAATAAAAACTGCACTGTTATGTTGACAATTATTTCAATGAAAATTTGTATATTAGTGATAGAAATATCATGTAATGCTAAATAATAAATAAAAATAAATAAATAATAAAAGCTTTGCAAATAGTCCCATACAACAATCACCATACATGAAACATAAAAGGATGAGGCATTAAAGCAACCTGTTTGAGTTTTATCTGCCTTATTCTATGAAGTTTTACCAGCGTAATTCCAAGAAGAAGTTAATGCTATTTACTGTGATGGGAACTTTTCGCACAGCCTGTATTATATATTCATTACAGATTAATAGAATCTATCATTGGGTTAGATAGAGGATAGGGAAATCCCAACCCGAGGTTGATCGGTTCCATCGGGAACGAGCCTTGGCGAGTTCCCGATGGAACTGATTGCCCGAGGGTTGGGATTTCCCTATCCTCTATCTAACCCAATGGTTGATTATTTTTCTCACTCACCTGAACACACAAATATCAGTGAATCTACTTGCTACGCCCATTACAACGTACCTAGTTTTGAAAAGGGGGCGGGGCTTGGGCGCCTGACTTTCTATGATTAAAAAGCATTATGTACGTCCGCAAAAAATTCTTTTGACCAAGTTTATGTGTGAAAAATTTAATGAAAATAAATTCATATGAGACCCCTCATGAAAAAGCAAGGTTATCATGATGAAACACATCAATATTAAAAACGGAAAGTGCCATAATATAAGTGTTTATAAGGAATTCAGTCCATACTTCAATGGTTGACAAAAAAGCGGTTACCGTTTGCAAAGATTTTTCTACTTTTTCGGTTATTTTGGCCGAATATTCAATTAAAATATATCAAAATGAGATTTGTCATCAAAAAGCATCGTTATCATAACAAAAAACATGAATGTTTTTCAGGCAAAGTGTCATAATATCCGATTTTACGAAGAACGTTTCGATATTTTAAAGTGTGCTATTTTTAGTAACAGATCGTTATTGGAAAGGGCGGATCTAGGTAGAGTAGGACTCATTGCAGTGTGAAAGTTAATATCAATCTATTTTGATTCCGTAGACAATTTAATAGATTAGCTTACAAATTTTTAATACATTTTGACCTTTTGACGTTTAATTTTTGTTAAAATAGGAGTGAATCGCGTATTATTTAGAACTGCTGCACGTTGAGTGTGAGATAAGCCCATGTGAGATAAGATTTTCCAACACCGCTATTTTTAGTAACATTTAAGGATTTTTCTATCTGGTTAGTGAGAAAAATAACTCATCGGCTTTTATTCATTAAATGACTGCATTTAAAGGAATAAAACACTAACAAGCAAAATTCATAAACTCATGGTCAAAACAAGTCTATTGTATACACTAAGAACTTCTATTGTATTTTACCTGCTAAGAGAGTCGAGGCAGACACCAGACAAGTTATGCTTTCTGGCAATCTTACCAAAGTGTATGATAGCCTGAGCCGAGGCATGTACTCCCAACATCGAATGATTGTTTTGCTGAAAAATATTTTAAATATCGAATGACTATTAGCTGAAAAATATTTATCAAATATATTTAAACTAGAAATGTGTCCATAGGACACGGATGCCCCCACACGCCACTGTTCTGTCAATCTTATGACTCTAGGTCAAATATTTTTTGGACTACATGTGCCACAAGTTGAAAACTAAAAATCGACAAAGGGCCATAATTCTGTAAAAGTTGGTCGCAGCAAAAATTCCTTCCTTTACTACCATCTACCTTCCTTTACTACCATCTACACATTAAGGTTGTTAATCCCTGGAAGTTTAAGCAAAATCTGCCATCCGGTTTAAGAGGAGTTGCGTTCACAAAATTTCTACATAGTATCTAATGAAAAAATCAACAAAGGGCCATAATTCTGTTAAATTTGGTTGCAGCAAAAATTCCTTTCTTTACTACCATCTACACATTAAGGTTGTTCATCCCTGGAAGTTTAAGCAAAATCTGCCATCCGGTTAAAGAGGAGTTGCATTCACAAACTTTCTACATAGTGTATAGTGAAAAAATCAACAAAGGGCCATAATTCTGTAAAATTTGGTTGCAGCGAAAATTCCTTCCTTTACTACCATCTACACCTGAAGGTTGTTCATCCCTGTAAGTTTAAGCAAAATCTGCCATCCGGTTTAAGAGGAGTTGCGTTCACAAAATTTCTACATAGTATATAGTGAAAAAATCAACAAAGGGCCATAATTCTGTTAAATTTGGTCGCAGCAAAAATTCCTTCCTTTACTACCATCTACACATTAAGGTTGTTCATCTCTGTAAGTTTAAGCAAAATCTGCCATCCGGTTTAAGAGGAGTTGCGTTCACAAAATTTCTACATAGTATCTAGTGAAAAAATCAACAAAGGGCCATAATTCTGTTAAATTTAGTCGCAGCAAAAATTCCTTCCTTTACTACCATCTACACATAAAGGTTGTTCATCCCTGTAAGTTTAAGCAAAATCTGCCATCCGGTTTAAGAGGAGTTGCGTTCACAAGATTTCGGGACGTACGGACGGACGGACTGACGGACGGACTGACGGACGGACTGACGGACGGACGGACAAGTGCAACGCTATATGCTCCCACATTGTGGGGGCATAAAAAGGACTGATATTATTAATTCAAAACATGTATTATTTGGCTATAGCAAAGTAATTTTATATATTAATTTTAACTCAAAAATTAGAACTTTGTTACCCTGTTACACTCCATAACCCTCTTGTTGTTTGACTTTTTGAGCATAAATAATTAATAACTTGATGTGCAACAGTGGTAACTCAGTGATTCCAACCATCTTGTTCTTTACCTTAAAAATATTTCGGTCTTTTATTTTTAACAAACAGTAGAACTTAAATTAAGTGGAAGTTAAAGGAACTTGCATAAAAACTTTGACTCATGAATCTGTCTCAATTTAATAACAAATTTAAGAGCCCTCGACGTTTAGAAGCATGTTACAAAAGGCGTAAACAAAAGGAAATGGCAATAACTAAACCAGCTTATAGTAAATATATACTGTGTGATTATCACGCAACACCGGGTCAAGCAAATTCACACATTCCAAACAGAATCTATACCGCTAGTCAAGAGGAGACAACCACAACTAGACATTACCTGATCTTGTGCAGCATCATAATGGTTTACAATGAACTGATAATGGTGTTGTCTCCAGGTAAATATATCACTCCAGTGAGACAGGTCATCGGATATCATAGGCAGACGATTCCTGAGAACAATAACATAGACAAAAATTATAATACAGAAATAAGAAGTGTTAAATAAATTGTACCCTTCATGGATAAAAAAAACTAATTTCAGAGCCACTCATCCTGGGGGATGAGTAGCTTCAAATTTCTACTGGTCCTGCATGGTATGCTATTGTGGTCCTGCATTTTGGCATGATGAAAAAAAAACCCAACCCCCTGACTAAAATATATAGGGCAAGATACCTCCAAGTTTTGACAATAGCTTTCATATCATGAAGACTAGTACTGCGGGTGATGTTGGCAGGTTGAAGACCCTGGTTGATCTGGGCAGCCTCCTGTAACTCCATGATCTGCTGGGCAGCCTGTAATATAAGACAACAATTTATTACCTCAGTGTGAAACCAAATTAAACTTGGAAATACTGGTACCAAAATGAACGTAGAAATACAGGAACTAAAATAAACCTAAGAAATACTGGAATCAAATTAAACCTAGGAATACTGGAACTAAAATAAACCTAAGAAATACTGGAACCAAAATACCTAGAAAAACTGGAACCAAAAAATAAACCTAGAAATACTGGATCAAAATACAGTCGAGACTGTCATATGTGACTTTCCAAGGGATCTTCTGAAAAAGGTCACATATGACAGGGAGTCTCTAAATACAGTCTCAAAGAAAATTAAATTTAAATATCATCTGTCTGTCTATACAGTATACCATTGAGACTTAAAGATCCTGTAAGTTTTGTGATTGATATTGTTACCGTGTGCATATCACACTTGCAAAAAAATATATATGGATATAATTATGCAAATAAAACAATTTTCAAACATCAAAGAAAATGTAAAATGTGTACTGCAAATATTTGTGCACATTATATTTAATCAATAAATTACATGCATTGATTTTTTATTGGAAAATTTGACTTGGAATTTATAGAAAATAAAGTTCTAATTACCTCCCTTTAATGGCCTTTATTTACATGAAATGTTAAATTGGGTGATATCTTTATAAATAATGCTTATTTGAACTTACAATATTGACGAATCTTAATTTGAGCATCATATTTATAAAATTAAACCATGAAAAAATTGTGTTACAGGATCTTTAAACATATTCATATCCAAAGCTTTTTCTGGTTTGGTATCAATATTTTTTCCGTATTAATTATGCAGCCATAGAAAGGTACATTAAAAAAATGCTGCCTTAAAAATCTTCCGTGGGCACTCTGTAATTAAAAAAAAACTAACACTAGTCTTAACCCAGTTTACTCAGGCCATCATGTACATTACACACACATCGATTGCATAATGCTTGCTACGTCACTTGATACCTGCATGTACTGTATACATGTTAACTGTGTAATTGAGATAGAGGTGTGTAGACTATGTTTGCTACTGGATTACAATTGGACTTAATTATGTTTTCCCTCTGGGTATTATTTATCTGATTAACGGACAATTAAAAGGTGTGAAAGTCGTTTAAATCAGACTAAACATTGCATTGGGACCAGACAATTAGGGTCGCTTGTCACATATGACAGGGAGTCGTTTAATTCAGACCATTTATATAGGAAAATACGTTGGGAGTACTGAAACAAGGTCGGATAAGACAAGGAGTCGTTTAAATCAGGGGGTCGCTTAGGCAGTCTTGACTGTAAACCTAGAAATACTGGAACCAAATAAACCTAGAAATAATGGAATCCAAATATACCTGGAAATATTGGAACCAAAATAAACTTAGAAATACTGGAACCTAATAAACCTAGCAATGCTTGGACCAAAACTATACTAAACATGGGACAACCTCTCAGATAACCTACCTGTAAGAGTGGAACATGTATATGTGTGACAATATGAGGTAGCCTCCTCCATTCTTTAATTGCCAAATTACTGGACAGCTCCACTAGTCTCTCAATCTGAAAAGATAGGAAAATGAAAATTACTTTACACAATTTTCATCTAAACATCATATAACAGCCCCACCTGGTTGTTAGACAAGAGTGACCCTTGTGTACAAGTTTCCTAATAAAATGATTTATTCTGTGATGTATACAGTCATGTTTTCAAATGGAGAAATGGAATAGTTTTCTACAATGACAGACTTATTTCAATATGTAAATGTATTTTATTTGTATGTAATTTATCCAAACTCCTTAACCCCTGCCGGAACTGAATACAGTTAGCCTTTATAAGCAGTATAGATCAGGGCCATAATGCACATGGGTGCAATCTGACCAAGCTTTATACTGTTGATAGCTTAGAAGTTAAAATTTTGATATTGAAATCCCTTAAACTTTGAATGGACTCTTCCAAATTAAAGTGAGAGCAAGTCCATAAGACAAATTCAGCAGGTTAAAACTTAAATGCTATTAGGGACAATCAGATTTGCTTACACAAGCAGTTTAATGTTAGGCTGGCCAGCACATCTATGCAATTTAAGTAGCAGTTTGATGTTAGGCTAGCCTACACATCACTACAATCTAACCAGACTTTATACTGTTTGCTTCTCTGAGTTATTTTTCCTATATCACAGCCCTAAATTTCGCAACAGGTAAGCTATATAATAAAGCTGTGGGCAAGTTTTCTAAGATTATGCTATTTAACAAAATGCACATTTTAGAAAATGTTCAAATAAGAAATAAATTATAAGCAGATTTTCTAGATTACATGTATAACAAAGGATAGCACTACAACATAAAGACTTCACAACATTTGAAAAAATATTGAAATACTGAACATCTACAAAAGAAGATACACAATACATATCACTTAAATAACATTAGAGCAGTTTCAAAACACCGAAAACAATTTATTGTTTGTAGTATTGTTGCTTTTTCCTTCCATCAATTGCTTACAACCTAAAACATTCATACGTTCATACACTTGTTACAGTCACAAAATTGCCTATGATTTCAAATGATTATGAGTATCATGTGACTGATTACGACTTTGTGGCTGGGTCTGAAAGATAATAGTTCACCTCATCGTTCTTGTGACTGTTATTCATTCTGTGGGCCGATAACCCCCTTCTGGCCCTACTCTTCCATGTATTTATCTTTTATTCATACATTTTGAAAAATAAATTTTCTATGAAATTCTCCAAATAAAACTAATAATTCAACACAAAATATACTACAATACCGAAAGAGCATGCGTACCAAAGACATGTACAAAGCACATGCTTAGTACCAAAAGTTATATTACGTTACCATAGTTACCATATTTAAATGATGATCGTCAGGGTGACAGATGGCGATATATCCTCGATACAAGTTCACTTTCCATGCCATCTCCTTGGGGCAACTCAGTTCAACCTACAAAATATGCCAAGAAAAAAATATATAACAAGAAGCGCCGCAATGCGACGAAAACCAGGTTTTCAACGACCAAGTTTTGATGTGACAGCAATCAAAAGGTCAAAGTGCACTGAAGTTATTGAGTAGATACTGAAAATTCTATTGTAAGCAAATTACCTTGACCTTGCTCCCAGATATCTAAGTGGCAATCCAAAGCTGCCACTCAGCAAGTTCGGTGTCAAAAGGTCAAAGCAAACTCAAGTTATAACATGAAAACTAAATGCATTAACCTTGATCACAGACACCTGGGTAGCAATCCCAAGCTGCCTCTTGATATAAGCTATCCATACACCAAGTTTGGTGTCAATAGGCCAAAGCAAACTCAAGTTATTGAGCGGAAACTGAATTTCTATTTTTAGTAACAGTGACCTTGACCTTGATCACAGACACCTGGGTAGCAATCCCAAGCTACCTCTTGATATAAGCTACCAATACACCATGTTTGATGTCATAAGGCCTAAGAGACTAATGTTTTTGAGCGGAAACTAAATTTCTATTTTTAGCAACAGTGACCTTGACCTTGATCACGGACACGTTGGTAGCAATCCCAAGCTGCCTCTTGATATAAGCTATCCATACACCAAGTTTGGTGTCAATAGGCCAAAGCAAACTCAAGTTATTGAGCAGAAACTGAATTTCTATTTTTAGTAACAGTGACCTTGACCTTGATCACAGACACCTGGGTAGCAATCCCAAGCTGCCTCTTGATATAAGCTACCTACACACCAAGTTTGGTGTCAATAGGCCAAAGCAAACTCAAGTTATTGAGCGGAAACTGAATTTCTATTTTTAGTAACAGTGACCTTGACCTTGATCACAGACACCTGGGTAGCAATCCCAAGCTGCCTCTTGATATAAGCTACCTACACACCAAGTTTGGTGTCAATAGGCCAAAGCAAACTCAAGTTATTGAGCGGAAACTGAATTTCTATTTTTAGTAACAGTGACCTTGACCTTGATCACAGACACCTGGGTAGCAATCCCAAGCTGCCTCTTGATATAAGCTACCTACACACCAAGTTTGGTGTCAATAGGCCAAAGCAAACTCAAGTTATTGAGCGGAAACTGAATTTCTATTTTTAGTAACAGTGACCTTGACCTTGATCACAGACACCTGGGTAGCAATCCCAAGCTGCCTCTTGATATAAGCTACCTACACACCAAGTTTGGTGCCAATAGGCCAAAGCAAACTCAAGTTATTGAGCGGAAACCAAAAGTTGACGCCCGCCCGCCTGCCCGCCCGCCGACTTCAGCATTACAATAACCCGGTTTTCGTTGAAAACCTGGTTAACAATATAATTTACTTAACTATCAAGTCTTAAGACATTAAAAACCAACTAATGCTAAAAAAGACACTTGAATTGACATGGGGCAACCTTTAAGAATTTCCAACCTATACTTTGCAGGTATAGAGAAACACAGCTAGCTCAGTTTTTGCGCTCCTAACAACATAAAATCTGTACATAACAGACATTTCGCATGAAGAAATATTAATGATCATGCAAGGGTAGAATTTAATTTTAGATTGGTTGGTATTTACCCTAGAGGATATAGAGGATATTGTATCAATTTTTGTCAATTCACGAAATTCGCCAAAATTTCTAAATCGCTAACCTCTTACACAGTATACAGATGCCGAGTAACTGAACTATCACATCTAAACATTTTACAATGAATCTTTGTCAAGAGTAGTTAAATACATCATTTAATCTGTATTTATTCTGAGTATTTCAAGGACACTATTATCACAAATGAGTTTACCTGTGAGAGAGCATCTTTCATGAGCGCCCAGTTTGGTACTCTCCATGCACTCTCCAATACAAGATGAGGGTTTGTGTTGCCTTTAGAGTTGGCATACTCTAACAGATGATCCCACTGATTCAATTCCTTAGAACATCTGAAATACAAAGCAAATATCCTTTCAACTATCACCACAAATATGCACATTTTTAGATTAATGAAGTAGGCGGAAACAAAACATCCTTATATGCAAATGAGAAGTTCTTGAATTTAAAAGGAACCACCCTTAAAAATTAGTTTATTTGCCACTTCAAACCTGCACATTGCAGATTATGTAAGTCTTTATTTCTCCTGTTCTGACAAGTTTTTGGAGCATAAAAAATAAAAAGATCTACAAACCTGATCCAATGGTCCTCCCACAGTCTGTATTCAGGTATAATGGTGGGTGATGCTGCCCCTGCATTGTGGTCAGATCTTGCTTTAGCCATTGCCTGTAGAATGTAATGTTCATGTATAATAATCAGGTTTTTTTTGGGGGGGAAAAGGGGAAGACGCTGGACGCTGGTAGGGAGGGGGAAAAATATACGAAAAAAGTTAATTAGGGGAAATTATGATGTTATTTATGCAAAATATCTAAGCTCTAGGCCTTTTGGGTCTTTACAAGAAGATTTTTTAAATTTATTCTTATAATTCCTTTTGGTTGCTATGGCAAGCAGATTTCTGCATGGAATGAAATTCTTTGAACGCCTTATGCAAAATATCTAAGCTCTAGGCCGTTTGGGTCTTTACAAGAAGGTATTTTAAGTTTTTACTATATGTACATATAGTGAAATCAATGACCCCCGGGGCGGGGCTGATTTTGACCCCAGGGCTATAATTTGAACAATCTTGGTAGAGGTCTACCAGACAATGCCTTATGCAAAATATCGAAGCTCTAGGCCTTTTGGGTCTTTACAAGAAGATTTTTTAAATTTATTCTTATAATTTCTTTTGGTTGCTATGGCAACCAGATTTCTGCATGGAATAAAATTCTTTGTATAACTTTGGAAGCCCACACAGGTGAATCGCTATATGCAACCGCATCGCAGATGCTGCGGTGGCATAATAACCAAGGAAATGATAATATTTTGATAGCAACTGATTTCCAGAAATAGTACCGTTCAGTACGGGATATAGCCAAGAAAAAATGGCAGCCTCCATGTTGAGACAGTACTTGCAGTTTCCTGCAATGTTTATGGTTATTTTTTTACTACAATTGGTGTGTTATCCTTGATAAAATGGAGAAAATAAATATTTTAAACCATATAAATATTTAATCTGATCCAGTTCAAAAGACAAAAAAAAAATTGGGGGGGGGGGGAACTTGGCTTTTTACCGAGGGGAAGAGGCCGACTATCCATCTCAATTTGTTAGTAAAAAAAAAAAAAACCCTGTTAATATATATCAAAAATGGGCGTCAGAAGCATTTAAAGGGCTACTAAAGGGCTACTGAAAATATCAAGTTTGTTACTTCTTAAATATTATTATTTCATTAAGTATATTAAATTTTGTATATATTCATAAGTTCAGAATCATTATTTCTATTTTTGCATTTAATGTACTCATTCCATTTATTAAATTGAGGAAAAGAGGAAAATACATTATATAATCAAAATCTTAAAAGAACTGCCAAATGAAACGTTTTTTAATATTTCTAGATGCCTACATGCCAATTGTTATAATAATTTTTTGTTTTACGGCACAACAACACACTTAAGGTCATTTGACGCCGAAACAAGAAAGATGATTTTGGCTAACCTCAGTTGTTACGAACTTAAAGAAACACTGAGGCCAAAACCACCTCACCTGCTGGAGCTATGAGATGCAGAGACTCCAGTAATTAAAACCCATCTTACGATCACACAGGCTTTTGAGGCAATTCTGATGCCTCAACACTTAAAGGCAACCCCTCTGCAACAAGGGGGGGGCCATGATTATTACATCCAAAATAAGAAATAAAGAGCTATATGTTACTTACTGCTTCATACGAGCTCTGCGACTGCTCAAAGAATCCATGTTGCTCGTAGGCTATGGCTGTATTGGTCTCAGCAAACTTCGATCTTTTCTGCCATAGCCCCGCCCACATGTCCTCCTCCTTTAATAAGCTATAGAGGTCACACAGGCCATCTAGTGTCTCCTGAAACATATACTTTTTTGTTTTATCACATTATCTCTTTTCTTTCCATACACACAATTTGTACTTTTCATAGATCTCTTTTTTCTTTCAAATACATTTTTTACTTTTTGTATTTGAAATTCCAAACAAAAAAACTTCTGTATGTGAAGAATAGAAAATCTGCTACACAAATAACTGTTTGCGGCCTTCATTAAAATCAATAAATGGATAAACCCTTACAATACTAAATTTGTGTACATTAATACTAAACTTAAGTGAATTCATACTAAATGTGTGTACATCAATACTAAATTTGTGTAAACTTATATTAAATTTGTGTAACTTAATACTACATTTGTGTAAATCAGTTTATTATTTTTTTGTAAATTAATACTAAATTTGTGTAAATTAATACTAAATTTGCATAACTTGACTTGCTAAGCTCTGATTTTGTAACAGTCTTTTATTATGTCAAGGGATTAACCCTTCAAAAATTAATTTTGTGTGAATTCATACTAAATTTGTGTAAATTAATACTACATTTGTGTAAACTGACTTGCTCAGATCTAATTTTGGATCAGTCTATTATTATGTCAACAGAATTCAGGATTTAAGCAATGAAACAGAGCAGCCCGCAGTTTATAGTGTTGTTAGACAGCATGGAAAAAGAAAACTGTCCTGTCTTTTAAAAGTATGAAACAAACACGCAGTCATTGCCACCAGCATTTTTAAGGGTCTAATCAGACATTGAACACTAACCTGTCCTGGAGCATTAGATCCTGAGGGTTCAAACTCGTACTCACTAGCCCCGCCTCTTTTCACTAGACCTGATGGTGCGTTATCAAAGGCAATCTGTTCCAGGAGAAGACAAGATCTGTACCAGAGGTTGTGTGTCCTACCCAAATACTGCAACAAGAAAAAATATCAGCGTTTTTACATACAGCATTTGGACACAATAAAATTATTAGTTTCAAAGTATACTACACTGTTTATTTAATCTTGAAAACAAGCGAAATATGTTATCCGAGTTGCATTTACACTCAGAACTCTGTTTGGCTTGTCATTTTGAAAAACATAAAACTTTTACTACAAACACTATTTTGATGAATATTTTTAAGCTTAACTCAAGATCAATTTTGACCAAAATATTTCAACTCACTGAGGATCAAACCAGCGAACCGTTTGTATACAAATCATAAACTTGCCCTTTCATACTAAGATCGTGTATCTCTTATTCAACAGAAAGAAAATTATGCACACAAATTTGAAGAATTGCACACTTTTGACTAATATCATTTAATGTCAAATTGTTCAATAAATCAAATTGCAGCATAACTCTGTTGTAAGTTTTACCTTAAGTATACTAGGTCTGATAGGCACTGGTGGTACACAGAGGGCCAGACTCTCGACAAATGTGTGTATTGCACTCGGATGACAGTCCTTCTGTCCAACATGGCTGCCACTGCACATAAAGGGAACTAACTCTGCTCCTAACATCTGAAATAACAAAAATGACCATAATTATAAATAAATGAAAGAAAATAACACAGTTTGTCTCTCTTTATCACTAAATCAAGATCTTGATGACAAGTGACTCTAGCACTCAAAATGTTGTAGTATAAAATCAAAGACACGATAATAACAAACTATAAGTGAAGTAACATCTAAATTAACTCATATATATTGCCATTTATCAAGAAATAGCCATCAAATAACAATTTAGCTAATGCTCCTCCATGCATTACTCTAAACACTGTCATTTACATTTCCTTTGAAGAAACGTGGATTCTGCAACAGAGATGTATACATGCTTGCGACAGAATTGTATAAATGGCAAATAATGATATTTACATGTCCTCAAAAAGTCAAAATGATACCTGTTGTTGTTTTTCCGAGAGAACCTTCCATATCCTCGGGTATAAATCCATCCACAAAATATGACTGAGATCTGTTGAACTGTGACATAACTGACTCAGTGCTCCCAAATACTGCACAGTCTGTGAAATATGGCAAAAAAAAACAAAAAACAATCATAAGCCACCATGACTTTCTTTGCTAGCATATAACTTCAAACTGATTTCTATCTTGTAAATGTACACAGCCCCATTTGAGTTTTTTGTTAAACAATTTTTTTAAATACACCGGATTTGTAACATCTATTTTCATTTAACAAGTGTGGCGTATTTTATAATACATGTACATGCTATACATGTACATGCTGTACATGCTATACATGTACATGCTGTAAAAGAATGAATAAATTTTTGTGTATCTTATGTTTTTATTTTTTGATAAGTTGGATGAATTTTTCTTTCTTTTTTTTCCTATGAGAATTTTATTACACCATTATTAATTAACTTTCAAGGCTTTTAACTAGATATATGACCTTGTTGACAGTTTCTTGCTATATAACCTTTACCTGACATCTCTGGTTATATAACCTTACAACTGTCTATACAATGCCATATAACCTGTCAATAAAAACCTCAAAGCTAAAAGTGTGTAAAATTGCAGCCATTACCCAGCATCTCTAGTTATATAACCAATAACCATACAACTGTTTATATGGTGTCATATAATGTGTAAAACAAGAAATAAATTTTTATCTAGAAACATAAATGTCAAATAACTTGTAAAACAAGAATTAAATTTAAAACTATAAATATAAGTGTATTTATCCAGCCATTATAATTATTCTATTGATTTTTCTCACCTTTATTTCCCGACAGTTTTCGAGGAATTTGGCCTGTCTCTGTAGTAACGTCTGTAAGTTCTGTTTCGGGTCTTGTATCTCCTTCTTCGGGGATTCTTTCTGTGTTGCCTCATCCGATGCTACACCAAGTTCTATATCTATCTCATCCTGTATTACATTTAAATTATGTATTTTTAAATTGTTTTTGGGAGGTTTTATTGTTTCGTTTTTGTTGGGTTTTACATTTCACCAACACAGTATACACTGAACTTTTTCTGATGATTAAGTGGGAGATTTTTCTTCAAAGAGGGAGATTTTAGAATTTGTAATAAACAAAGAAGGAAGTTCTGACATCAAAAATAGGGAGATTTTTTAATTTGTGAAAATAGCCCTTATTTTAAGAAAAATCTTTGAAAATATGGCTGCAGAAAGTGGGAGTCTCCCGCTAAAAGTGGGAGAGTTCACATGTAGGAGTATAGATCATACGGTGACTTATCAGTTTAACTGGTGCAGGAAGACCTCATGTGCCTCCCATTGCTTTTTTTAAGGCACAAACAGGCACCCCGAGTAGAACCACTGAAGTTTTGAAGGGTAGCTTACATTAAAGAATTCATAGTCCTTGTGGGGATTCAAACTCACAAGTAACAAATCAAAAACATAACATTAATCGAGGTTTTTAATATATTTAAAGATGTATTCTTTAATAAATGCAGAAAGTTTTTATTTTGTTAGGTTTTTTGTCACATCAACACTGTCAAGGTTAAAAGACCACTTCCCAGCGCTATACTGCTGGAAGAAAACCTTGGGTGACCCACTCCTACACACACAGGCACCTGAAAAGATCTCAAAGACTTTCATAAATTAAGGGGAGCACCTCTTATTCAAATTTATAAGACATACATTTGAAGTAAGAATATCATTACTTACGTCCTCCTTGTTTGAATCTAATGCCTCGATATCCATGGGTTCTTCTTTCATCTTCATGATGGTGGCGAAGTGAGCGCGATCCTGACTGTCTGCCAAGCTCACAATACTGCTGGCCGAGGGTAACAGGTTAAGCGACGAGGCGCTCTGTATAGTGTGACCATTTACGGCCACAGACATCAGTAACTGTAACATAGAACACAGTTTTGATCAATTTGTTTATTTGTTTGATAAGTTTTACATAACACTGACACAGTATAGGACATATTGCAATGTTCCTGCTTTACTGGTTGACGAAGAACTCTGGTGCCCTTCCATGCATTAAAAGTTTTCATCAAATCATGATTGACATAGTTACTGCAATATCATGCTTTTTATGATATTTTCGAAACTTACCTGATAATGTTTTTATTTAAGAACAAATTTTTTACACTTACATCTGTACACGAACACTTTTTTCATCAGCGAAGATTACATTTTTATTATCAGTGAATAATCCATATATCATTGCCTTAGTGAAGTAATGGGTTATCTCTTATTAAATTATATAAAGTGTTAACCCATTACTGCACTAAGCCGCAATTTTTCATAAATTTCACCATATAAGAACAAAATGACAATGCAAAATTATAGTCTTTCATATCACACTTCTCAAAAATGATGACTCAACAATGACCCTTTTTACATTTTTTATGACATGACTTTCTACACAAGTTTTACAGTACATCAAGTTTTTAATCACACTCTACTGTCATATAAAGAAACTTTTATACTACCTCAATGCACTGTTTAATCCAGAAGTGGCCTCCCATCAGCTCCCAGTTCTGTGAACACGTTATATATAGAAGGCGTTCAAATACTCGACGTGGAATACTGCTGTTAAAAACCTGCAATATATTATAAGCGGCTATATACAAAAGGTAGTCAAACACCCTCAAGGAATACTGCTGTTAAAAACCTGTATTGTTACAAAATATACTTACAAATATTTCAAATATGTACTGCAAAATCATTATTATTTTTGAGAAACTAATTTTCGTGGTTTTCCTGGGTAGGTCAATCCACGAGTTAAAGATCCAATAAAATTTCATTTTGTCTACTGTAAGATTAATTTGCATAACATGAATTACGTTTTTACATTTTACAAAAAAAAAAAAAAACTCCACAAATTAAATAAACCATGAAAAATATTCTTTGTGACAAAACAACGTGAATTCAAAAACCATGTGAATTCATAGAAACAAGAATTGAACTATGCAGGCTGTCAACCAGGTCTTATTCAAATTATAGGAGAAATATAGGAATATTTTAGCAGTAAATATAGGAGTTTTTGGACCATTTTGAGGCGAAAAAATAGGAGTTTTCAACTTAAATTGTTTAACTTACCAATGCTTATATAAATGTAAATTATTCTTACTTTTCCACATGCTGTTTCTACAATAAAATGTCTACCGTATAAGTGAAGGAAACCATTAGCAGGCTGTCCAGCACCTTCCGACATAAAATTAGGGCGAATTTTAGGGTAATGTTTCAGAAATTTTAGGGCTAAAATTAGGAATTTTAGGGTACGTAATAGAAATTTTAGGGCTAAAATTTGCAATTTTATGACTAAATAAACTAAGGTCCCAAAAGACCATGATGTGGGCTAACCTTTGCATATTTGACACATAAGTAACTCACAAATAATGCTCTAGTTTAGTTTGAGCAAAGGTGCTACCAGTGTGGACTCACTGGTCAACTGCCTCCCCTGCGGAAATGGTCATTATAAGTCAAATCATGTTCAAACCATATTTTTTAAAATGGCTGAACATGTCAAAAAGAACATGTTCTACCTATGTTTACGGAATGTTAATTTTTTTATAACCACAAGTGTCTAAAAGGAATTCTTATACAGTGAAATTCTTGCACAATGCAGCTTCTGAATATGGACAAATGAAATTTTTTGTAAAAGTAGGTAAAAAGTAAAAAGGCATTTGCCTTAGTACAGTCATTTGAATAAATGGGAAGCATCTATAATCAACACAAAGAATTGCACATCAAAAAAGATCATCACACAGACCATTCAATTGCAGTTTATCTAGATCACATAATTGCAAAATGTGTGTACATTGTAATTGGAAATGAGCTTTATATTACTGAACTGCCAAATTATTTTGAGTGTGATTAATTATATGAGTCTGCCTTTTCCTAAATGGGACCATATGAATGAAAGAACAAGAACTGAATGAAATTGATAACTTTGTGGCAAAAAAGCAATTTCTCCTACAAAGATACAAAAAGGATAAATAAGTATGAGGGAAAGAATTAATTTTTCAAAGTCTATGTTAACCCATTCAGTACTTTACAATGTTGTTTTGATATTATGCAGATTTAAATAAAAGAGTTGTGAGTAAACAAATTGTACATTAATTTTTGACAACTATTTATACATGTTTTTAATTAAGATTGTGTTACAACAGCTTCATAATGATCATTTTCAAAAATGATATGATATAAATGGACCACTTCAGAAATTTGGATAAAATGAACAAACATAAAATTCAAGATATCTGGAGTTGGCAAAACAGTGTCAAAATATTCCAGAATAAGTGGACTCTTATGGTTATGATTTGAGTTTCAGGACCATGATATGGTAGTGTTTTTGCTGTTAACTGTCCACATGATTATCAACAACTGCTTTGATTATGAAATAGTAATGTTAATGACATAGTCAAAGGAACTTTTAGTTGAAACGAAACCATTTCAATGTCATCAATTTTGAGTTGGCAAATCATGGCCAAATCATTTTTGACCATGTTCAAAACATGGTCGACTTAGTTATGTCCTTGATTATTTTGACAGGGTTACAAGTTATAAGTATGTTTATAACAAAAGATAAAAATAATTAGGAATTTCAGTGAAAAAAATTGGGCATTTTTAGGAATTCCCTTCGAATTTTTCACTTTTTTAGGAATTTTAGGGATGCTGGACAGCCTGCATTAGCTTTGAACCACAGCATCAGCAGAAAGTTACAGCAATGCATGACCATCATCTGAATGGTCACCTGACATAAAGTTGACATACTGATGCACTGCTTTTCATGGTGACCATGCAGATGGCTATGTGGAGCACAGCAGCCTTGAGCATAGTAATGTGATGCTGATGCAGGCATACACATTCTCTTACCTTTAAAATACAAAAGGCCAAAAGCAGTACCAAAATTTAAATCTCTTTGAATTCCTCGGCAATATATTTTTAAAAAAATATAGGAAAAATATTCAAAATATAGGAGAATATAGGAAAAATAGGAGGTTTTTTAAAATATAGGATTCCGACCCAAAATATAGGAGTTTTATAGGAATATAGGAATTGGTTGACAGCCTGCGTTATATATAGAAGGCGTTCAAATACTCGACGTGGAATACTGCTGTTAAAAACCTGCAATATATTATAAGCGGCTATATACAAAAGGTAGTCAAACACCCTCAAGGAATACTGCTGTTAAAAACCTGTATTGTTACAAAATATACTTACAAATATTTCAAATATGTACTGCAAAATCATTATTATTTTTGAGAAACTAATTTTCGTGGTTTTCCTGGGTAGGTCAATCCACGAGTTAAAGATCCAATAAAATTTCATTTTGTCTACTGTAAGATTAATTTGCATAACATGAATTACGTTTTTACATTTTACAAAAAAAAAAAAACTCCACAAATTAAATAAACCACGAAAAATATTCTTTGTGACAAAACAACGTGAATTCAAAAACCATGTGAATTCATAGAAACAAGAATTGAACTATCTTTTATAACAATTACCTCGACAAATTTCTGTCTGATATGAGGCTGTTGACATCGTAGACCTGACAGGAAAGCCTGCTCTAGTTTCGTAGTCAACTCTGTACCACTTAGACCTTCGTCCCTGAAAGGCAAAGATTTATTGGTACATTTTTTAAGTACGTACTTACTTTTTTTACTTGTTTTCTTAGTTCTGTTTAAGCAATAGGAATTCTTTTTCTTACTTTTTTTTCATTTTGAAGTAATAAGAAGCTTTGTTTAAATAACTGGTTGAGAAGGACTTCAGGAGCTTTTAAGAATATAATTTCTGGTACGAGCAAGCAAAAGTGATGGACTGACAGACAAACGGACAGATGACAGAGGAATGATCCCTATATATCACCACTATTCTTTAGAGGCAACAAAAACAGACGTAATGTAACATACATTTTAATGACTTACCCAAACTGAGTCTATATTAAAAACTCAACATTTTACATTAACAAGCATTAAACAGAAACATCATTAACAAACGTTACCTGTAAATGTAGATGACAAGTTCCAGGAACTGTGCACTCAGTTCCTGGTCATCATTGAACCTTTTCTCTATATGTACCATCAGTTTCACCAGCAGGATGGCCTTCTCTCTGATAGATGGTGACTGATTCAAAGCAATTGTTCCCTGATAAATAAACATTGCCTTTGAATATAGGACTATGTAATTTGGTTCACTGAATAACAAACTCTGTTAATATATTTCAAATTATTGTCAAAGAAGATAAATAAACATCGCTATTGTATATAGGACATGTGATTTGGTATACTGGATAATGAACACCTTTAATATATTTCAAATCATTGTCAAAAAAAAATCCCCTCTCTACAATGATTTAATGGGAGCTGTGGCCCAGTGATTAAAGTATCTCCCTCTCAACTGACCATTGGATCAGGTCCTATTTGAGTTCGAACAAATCCTACCCAGTCAAGACCAAGATATCCCTAAATGGAACCAGTGCCAGGTAGTTCCAGTATGCGGCAGGGTCAAATATGAATAGTATAATTTGCAAGAACTACTTTCACAATTGAGCTAATATAAATACAATTAAACTACGGTGATCAGGACAGGGTCTCACTACATTAAATGCACTTCTCACTCACTATTCTCTGTGCTTATTTACTATATCACTTCAATAATAACAGTTATGTACGTATTCTAGGTTTAATGTGGGTCCGGCCACCTTTTTGTACGAACTATGGAGATGTCCAGATGACCTTCAAGGTCATAAATTGCCAAAATGTAACTTTTTAATATGAAACTAATTTATTCACTAACCTATATTAATCATATACATAAGTTGATTTTGTGACATTTACTATTTTGATGCATGGGAGGCCAATGAAATCATTATATGCATCATCACAATATTAGTTTATTGAAATTAACCTATATATATCATAGCAACAAATTAAGATACCTTAGTTTTTACCCAATCTTCCACCATTTTAGTGATGGCTTTCATCACTTTACTGTCTGGAGTTTTCTCGATCAGCCCGACCAAGATTTGACCTATAAAACTTTTCCTCATCTCCATCGACATGACGACGACCCGATTCTTTACAAGGTCAAGGCTGAGTATGAGAAGTTCACTGGCAACTGGAAAAACATATCATAAAGGTTTCAGTGAATCCACCATAGCTAAAGGCTAAGTTTAAATATCATACTATACTGGCATGCGAGCAGTTCCCGTACAGAAGCAGTACCCGTATTTTTCATTTAAACGCTTGATTTTTACATGCATTCTTCAAAAATTCATTTCAAATCAAGCAGATACATAAACGAGACAAAATCTAAGTGTCAGTTCGGCAGTACGTATAAAAAGTCTCATTTTAAATCACTTTCACCTGTGCGTTGTCAAAACGTGACCTTGTTTTATCTGGGGGATTCCGTCCTTGCGAGCATGCGCAAACATACTTACACGTGAGGCATGTTTAAGGGGTATCCACTAATACCACCTGTTTACAGATAAGAAGGCAATGTGATGAAAACTTGTTTAATTATCAGAATTTTGACCAATATTACTATATAAAATAATTTTATGGCTTTGATGCGTAAAATATCATGTATACAAGCATGCCATCGCATGTGAATGCGTTGGGGGGTAACGGTACCGGGTAATAGATACACTCGTTTAGTCTACTCTCTATTTCCTGAATTACATCTATTTATCTCTTAGAAAATGGTTTGTTCAACAATTATAAATGAAAAATAGGTCCGATATAATAAAATTGTATAATTATAATGGGTTAAATTTTATGTACGGGAACTACTTCTCTTCATACAAAATAATGGATAATTTCTGTACCCCATATGAGGCCTCATAACTAAGGGTTATTCTATGTTTAGAACATGATGGAATTTCCATGATTTGTGTGACAAGCCGAATATTGATATGTAACATTCAAATTTTGGTGAGTGAGCGTAAAAAAAAATAATGTTTAAGTAACTACGATTTTTGTACGGGAACTGCTCGCATGCCAGTATACATAGCATCATGAAAATATTAATATTTACCAATAACTTAATTTTGTATCCTAGTGGGGGAGAATTCTCACAACAATTCAAGAATATGATGTAACAATCTCCTGCTCAACTAGGATGACCCCCCCCCCCCCCCCAATGCCTATCTAAAAATCTAAATGTTAAATTTGCTTTTGGATTTCAGTATCAGAAATCTAATTTCCAGCATAATCAAACTATAAAGTCAAGTGCTAACAAGGTGAATCTCCTACGGACAGACAGACAAATGGTTTGTTCAATTACTATATGCCCAGGGCATAAAAAATCTCAAATTCCTGCAAAATTTAAGCATAAGACAAGCTTTTGTGAACAAAAGTTGTATTCACTTTGATAAGAAATACAAATGCAACACAAATTTTATACAAATACAACATCATGAGATGTTTAGAATGAATACAAATACATGTATGTCTTGCTCTCCTAATTTTGTAAGCATTCACATAAAGCTGACCCTTGAAAAACAACAATGTTAATATACACAATAACATCCTTTCTGTACGGTTAATTCTCAATCACAATACGCTGTTTATGTAATTACTTTTACTTGACACACAGAAAAGTATAATAAATACCTGGACTGGCCTCGGATGTACTAGGCTGAAGATGTTCTCTGGCCATTTTAGTGAGTACTTTCATAAACGTTGTGATCAGCCTGTCAATATAACACTGGTTGTGTATACACGCTGCCTTCAGTATCATCAGAGTACTAAACAACTGTGATGTTGATCCATTCGTTGCCCTGGAGAGAAATTTAATGAATGAGAAATTATTTTCATGTATTTGTTTTTTTTTGTTTGAGTTAATAATATGAAAATGGCTGACATTCCCTAGATCTATTTGTAGATCCAAATCGTGGTCCTGGAGAGAAATTTCATTACAAGCAAAAATATTTCCAAGTATTTTCTTTTTTTTTAATCTATAATGGGAAAATTGGTCACATTCCCTTTAGATCTATTTGTAGATCCATTTCCCAGCCCGGGACAGAAATTTAACAAAAAGCAAATTATTTCCACATATTTTTTTTTTTTAGCTTATAATGGGAATATTGCTCGTATTCTCACTTAGATTGTAAGAACTTATAGTCTGAAAAACCAAAATGGTCCAAGCACCTGTTGTGACAAACAGGATATTAAGTGTAGTCTAGAATCACAATGAATAACATTATTTTCTTAAATTAATGCAAATTTTATACGCACTTGTCATAATTGGTGAGACCCTCGTACACGACCTTGCTGACACACGCGTACAGACATTCCAGCTCCTCGTACTTGGACGCTACGTTCGAGTTGACTGGTTCAGTCGGGAAGAAGCTCATCAAGCGTGACAGTAGACTGTGTACTCCGCGTATAACCTTCGTGTTCGGACAGTTCATACACGCAGCTATACCTCTCTGTAGAGGTTTGAAGCTTGCAAGTATCTGCTCTTTCTTCTACAATGATTATACAGAATACATGTGTGATAAATATCACGGAAACCTTCTTTTTTGACATATTGGACCATTCTAGGAAGCCTTATCCATATGTATACTATTAAAGAATCAGCTGACCACATTCTTGATTGGAATATTTCAAATATGGAAGATAGACAGAGGTAAAATATTGTTTACATATTGCTAAATAAATGCTAGGTCAACTTTTTCATTGAGGAAAGTGAAATCTGCATTTAGCATGGTATAAACAAGATTAGTGAAGGATTTATTTTTTCTCAAAAATACAAAACCTTACATTCCTCATTAAGTATACTGATTCAAAATAAATTATGTTTAGGATAAGCAATTAAAAGAACACTTGGAATAAATACAGCCTTGCTTGCGTTCTTGTTTTTTCATTAGGTTTAAAACTGCTTGCCTCCAGATGAGCAAAAATATTTCGATAAAATCAAACCTGAGAAAAATGTACTAAGATTTTAGGAAAAGTATAAAGATTCAAAACTTTAGTAATTATTTACATGTTATGTGCGATTAATGACTTGATTTTTCAGTATTTATAACTATATTTCTACTGTGTTACTAATGCAGTAAGGGCTATTTTTGCATAATTTGACATCTTTATGGTAATTAACATGGGTTGTAAAAGCCATTGATGATGTGTAAATTGCATTCTTTTGGTAACATTGCAATATTATACTATTTAACACATTTTCCAATTTTCGTTGAAAATTAAATAAGCATGAATCTGGAGGCTTTTTGCTTTTTTTTAGCTGGACTAAAAAGCAGTGCGCACAAAAAAGCACCTGAGTAAAACCACCAACCTTCAATAATTATGTAGCTGGATAGCTTGTTCGAAGTATGAAAGAATTTGTTCAATTGTTAGGTGAAAATGATTTATAGTTCTGGACTAGATCCAGAATATTTTACCAAAGGGGTAAGGCATATTAATAGCTTTCCATGAAGGGTCATGAGTAAAAATTTTGCCTCATTTTCAATGAAAAAATTGTGACCTAATATATAAACCTTCTATAACCTACCAATATTGTAAGAAGGAAGCACAACAACTCTAGGGCAGTACAAATGTTGTTAAAGTTTGGCTGCTGACTCTCTACAGTATTGAGAAGTTTATCAAACCATGCCAGCTTCAACTCGGTGTTCGGCCACACGTCAGGTCTCAGGGCCATCTTCAACAGTGCCACACATCTTCTTGACAGCACTTCACCAGGAGAGCCTGCCACCTCGCTCACCTGTAACATATCATAACAAGATTACAGGGCATATTTCCCCTCCATCACTAGTGACCAATATATAAGGCCCTATTACCATTCCAAAGTTCTTTTTTTCCAAATATCTCAATAAAAGAAAATCCCCTGAGCAGCCAAAAAATTAAAATATTTCAACTTCTGAAAACAAGTTTAACCTTTAAACAAAAGTCACTGGTTTAATATGACCAAACACAAGAATAAAACTTTTTACTGTCATGTATTGTGTACTTTTTTCAACTTTTGAAATTTCTCAAATCTGACACACATTTTCCCGCCAATGTACACAACCAATTGCACTTTCATTAAGTAAATAAGATGACATAACATAGCAACAAAATGTAGCTACTGGTTGGGGACCACCAAAACCAGACAACCACCAAACCCGGACGGCCCCGAAAATGCTTAATTTAGTATTTTCTTTGTTCAGTGGTTGTCAGTCACTTTTTTATCAACAATAAGTGCATGTTTCTTTTAAAATTAAGTTAATGAATTTATTTCAACCTCTGTAAATGGTAATATTTTAATGTCTATTTCAAGAATGTTGACGTTGAAATTCGGGGGTCAAGAAAGCAATGCCTGACCTCATATACCAGCTATAATCATTTGCAGAGTGAATAATAGAATATCCAAAACTTCAGCATTTGTGGCTAACATATTGTATATCATGTTACAAATAAAAAATCTAAACACCCAAGCTTTTATCTGAATTAAATCACATCGTGTTCATATCTGTCCGGACACATGGTACTGTAGTGTAGACAATTTAGGTAATTTTGATACCCTCCTTGTCGAGCCAAAGTGTAAGTGTCAATACAATCAGAAATAAACAAACTAGTTTGTTAGTTAGGAGAAGAACCTAGCTGAACTGTGTCAAATTGTTTGGTCTCTATGTTAAAAATCAAGAAATCTGTATGAAAAATGCTCCAAAAGTGTCCGGTTGATGGTCTCCGACCAGTACTCGTACCAGCTTATAATGACCCCAAGTGATCCTAGATTTTTTTTTGATTTTTTAATATTTTTGTATTGAAAATCTTGGTTAACAAATAAAATAATGTAAGACCTGGCATGCAATCCTGAGTAAGAAGTTCACCACAGCATCACAGTAAGATTTTTCTATAGGTTTTGTACTCTCTGTTGACTTGGTGGCAGGATCAGGGCTCCCTACAGCCCCACTTGAGTAGCGGGCCTTCTTCACCTCACCCGGTGGATCCACTGACCCTGCCCTCTTTACTGCCCCTGCAGTCACATCACCAGAGGCCTGTAATATACGTTGAAAAATAATTCATCTTGAATGATACAGTCAAGAGAAGCTGGCTATATATTTTAATCATTTTGATATCGTGGCTTTTGTTATAAAGACATTACAAGTTAATTTATAACACCAGCACAGTTTTTCTTCATAGAATTTATATAGAAATCTCAAGGATTTACTTCATAGGATTCATAAAGACATCTCAAGGATTTTCTTCAAATGATTTACTTCAAATGATACATAAAGAAATCTCAAGGATTAACTCTCATGGATTTACTTCATATATTTTACTTCATCAGAATAGTAATCTTATGATTGCAAGCTGCATGGGTTTAAACCCTTTCAGGGGCAAGTTGTTGTTTCCTTAGGCAAGAAACTTTCCACTCATTGCCAAGTACTATCGATTGGTTCCAGGAACGATTTGAATTGTGTCTATAGCTAATAGCTTCCTACAAAATCGAACTAAAATAAATTCTGTATAAACCAAAGATAAAGTAATAAAAGATAAAATTTTACTTCAGGTGGATCATTGTCCTCCTTGATTCTCTGTATTTCCCACTTTATTATCACCTCAGCCAGGTCCACTGCTAGCTTACGATGCTCGATTGTTGCCTGTAAATAAAAGCAAGTTCAAATTAAATCACACCTTGCATGGTTTCAAACAAGAGCGATCAGTAATCACATGTGTCGCCTCATGATGGCCAATTTCATGTTGGGACAAATTTTGTGACAGACGGACAGACAGACGGACAGTGCACAACTAGACTAACCACTTTGTACTGATCATTCCTGTAAAATTTGGATAAAATTGCACCAGTAGTTTATGAGGAATAGTCCAGACAAGCTTTTGCGTATCTGGCAACACACAGAAAAAAACACCTTTTTATCAAAGGGCCATAACTAGGCCAAAAATCATTCAACCGGAAAACCCGTGCAATATGCGCAAGGACTTGAGCTACAGATCAATCCTGTAAAGTTTCATTGAAATTGAATAAGTGGTATAAGAGAAGTAGTCTGGACAAACTTTAAAAATAAAAATTATTAAAGGGCCATAACTCAAACAAAAATCATTGAACCGGAAAATGCTGACAATATGCACAACTAGACTTGGTACTGATCATTCCTGTAAAGTTTGGATGAAATTGCACCAGTAGTTTATGAGGAGTAGTCCGGACAAGCTTTTGTGTATCTGGCAACACACAGAAAAAGAAACCTTTTTATTAAAGGGCCATAACTCGGCCAAAAATCATTCAGCCGGAAAACCCGTGTAATATGCGCAAGTACTTGAACTTACAATCAATCCTGTAAAGTTTCTTTGAAATTGCATAAGTGGTATAAGAGGAGTAGTGCGGACAAACCTTAAGAATAAAAATTATTAAAGGGCCATTACTCGGACAAAAATCATTGAACCAAAAAATGCTGACGATATGCACAATTACACTTGGTACTGACCATTACTGTAAAGTGTGGATGAAATTGCACCAGTAGTTTATGAGGAGTAGTCCGGACAAGTTTTCTGACGGACGGATGGACAGACAGACGGACAGACAGACGACGGAGAAGTGATAATAATATGTCGTCACTACTCCGTAGAGGCGACACAAAAAGAAAGTTTAGAAAAAACACCAATGATTTTTCACACTTAACTTCTCACTTAACTGGGAAGAGACCTCAGCCTCTTGATTTTGGGAAAAATTATTGCTAAAATTTCAAATTTGGGAAGAAAAACAGTCATCAAAGTGGGACTTGAAAATATAATTTATTTTATTTTGAGCTTCTTCCCTCTTTTTGCTTGCGTTTTACATGTGTAAGTCACTATCAAAGTAATGACTATCTAGGAGGTTTATTACTCCTACAGTCAGTACAAGCAACTATCTTCCATAACCTACTTTAATAGCCTCCAAATATGGCAAAATAATAATAATATATAATAACTTCAAAATATAACATGCATGTTATAAGATTTCAAACAAACAAGCAATTATCATAGTATTGCAAGCAATCCATAAGTCCCCTACCGGTAAGAGCCCAAGCAACATTCTGAAGGGCCATTGGCCATTCACTTAGGTTCCTATTTTAAGTAAATTTGTTGAAAAAGTTCTTTAAAAGTGATCACAGGAAACAGTTTTTATGTACAGACAGACGGACTGAAGGCAGTGATTTTTCTCATTTGATTGGGAAGAGGCCTAAGCCTCTTGATTTTGGGAAAAATTATCGCTAAAACTGCTCATTTGGGAAGTAAAAAAGCTGGTATAAGTTCAGATTTTTGGGAAAACTGCATGATTTTAAAGAAAATTTCAATTGGGAAGAGGCCTTTTTTCGGAGTCTGTTATATAAGTAGGAAAATCACTGGAAGGACACTCTAAAGTTATTTTTTCAACATCCCTGTTATCAAAATATAACATTTTTAAAATCCTATCATGATTGAAGAAGTTGGAGTAAAAATTACCAATTTCTCAAAAAAAAGTCTAAGTTCAAAAGGGGCATAATTCTGGAAATAGTCTTGCTAGAGTATTGAACACTCACAAATGTTGAGTGATAATAAGAAACATTTATATGAAGTTTGAAGTAGATACATTCAGAAAAAGAAGTTATTAAAAAAACAATGTTTTTTTCATAAAAATTTTAAGTTCAAGGGAGGTAATTCTGATAAATTTTGTGCTAGAGTTGTAAACCTTGCCACGTATGATGTGGTTGATGACAAGCAACTTATATTTAAAGTTTGAAGAAAATACCTTAAGAAATAAAGAACTTATAGTGAAAAAACTTAAAAACTAGAATCAGAAATCTTGAAATTCAGTCTATTTGTTGCCATAGCAACCAGAATTTTCAACATAGGAAGATAAGAAAAGGATGTGCATAATTTCCATACTGCCATCTACCCATATGTCAAGTTTCATAAACATATTTTCAGTACTTTTTGTGTTATCACTGGATCCAGGTTATGTGTAAAATTTGCCATATTTTCAGTCTATTTGTTGCCATAGCAACCAGAATTTTCAACATAGGAAGAAAAGAAAAAGACGTGCATAATCTCCATACTGCCATCTATCCATATATCAAGTTTCATTAAAATATTTTCAGTACTTTTTGCGTTATCGCGGGATCCAGTTTTGTGGACGGACGGACGGACTGACGGACGGACGGACGGACAGACGGACGGAGGGTAAACCTAAAGTCCCCTCCAAACCGGTAGGGGACTAACAACAGTGATAGACAAGTAGTTTTAGTGACTATCATCATACTTACACTCTGCGTGAAGCCGAGTCTCTGTAGTGAGTTGACCATATGCTGGATCAGATGATGCCTCACCGGGTAGTATACCTTATAATGTCGAACCACGAGTTGTAGTATATGTACCAACTGAGCTACCGAATGACCGTCTTCAACGATTATCTTCTTCGTCCAGTGTGTCAACATGCCCTGAAAAACGTACACAACAATCTCTATATAGTTTACATAAAGTCGATTTCCTGAAATCTGAAACACTACAAATCAACTTCCATAAAACCAATACTGAAATCTTATCTTAAGAAAAAATGTTTCAGTTATAATGAACATACATTTTTTTATTTATTTATTTGGTTTTACATTGCACCAACACAATAAAAGTCATATGGCAACTTTCTAGTTTAACTGGTGGAGGAATACCCTAAGGTACCCCATCCATGCATTTTAGGCAACAAATTGCACCTGAGTAGGATTACCAACGTTCCGTAAGCAAGCTGGATTTTGTTTTAAATTTAACAATTCAACATCTAAATTAGAATTTAAACTGTATGTTCATCAAAGACAAGTGCAGAAATTTGAAAAAAAAAGATGTCTGAAATTACTATAGCTTACTTACATTGCCATCCTCCATTCTTCCAGGCATCGCTGGTGTAAGTATTTCTAGAGCTTGCCTCACCACAGTCCGAGCCTCTACTGCATGTGCCTTCAACAAACTATGAAATACCTGTAACCATAGAAACACATAAAAGTTATTCAAACTTTAACTTTTTCCATAAAATTAACTGAAGTCAAACCTGTGTGTCACCATGTGTATAAAGACCACTCAGAGTCAATGCTTCATTGATTATAAATATCAAAGTAACCTCAAAATATGGACCATTTGTCTATAAAGGCCAAATTCAAGGCCTCTTTTCAATAAAGTGAGAAAAAACACTTGGCGTTGTTAATCGGCTGTAAATGGCTATGACTATTTAACTTCGAAACAGACGAGCTAAAATCAACATGATTATCTCCCTTACTAAGTTTACTTCCATCTCTGAAAATTGACATGTAACTGGAGTAAAGAGACAAGAGAGTATACTGTACACCTGGATGAGTTTATCTTCAGCTTAGTGCAATAATTGGGTTAAGTCCTTCTAAATTTAATAGAAGTTAATCACTTATTGCACTAAGGTGACGAGATGGACCCTTACTAAGCCTAGAATACATACATACATCATATAATCAATCAATAAAAGGCAATTACATACCTGTAATACAATACGTTTGTGGATAGCAAACTTGGCGATGATGTGTGACAGTAAAAGATGACCATGATATTTTGTGGCAGGGTCTATACAGTTCTTCATCAATAAACAAGGCCATGCAAATGTCATCAAGCGCCTCAATTTGTTCCCTTGTTTCCTAAAACATGTTAAAAATGACTTTATTTTTTTTTTTATCAGTTAACATTTACTTACATGTATTAAATCATAAAAACTTGTGAATCAAATATCAGAGCAGGTAAACAAGTCTACTTCCTGTGTTTGTTATTGAAAGATGTCATATATGTCAAATTCAATAGGCTTGCAAGACATGATACAGTGATACAATTCCCAGCACCTTCCTGTTAGCTCAATAGAGCGTTGGGCTGTGAATCGGGCAATCTGAATTCAATTCCCGGCCGGTACAGGTCACTTTCTTTGTGATTATCATGAAATCCTTTCTACAGTCATTTGCACTGTTCCTATGCTCTGGCATGCACAGAAGTTATCAGTTCCTCGAGAAAATGAAGACAACTAGTATATGTACTGGTAAACTGCTTGACAGTCTGCCCAGGAATGATGATGTGATGGCTGAACTGTGCTCTGCTTTATTCAATGTGGCTTACAAGCACTACCAGGTTTTAAACTACTTTCATTCTTGAATCTTTCATGGAGCATAAACAGTAATAGAAAATTTATCTTTAACCTAATCCTCACTGAAATTCATATCCAAGACTTTAAACTTGCAAACTCTCCTGTCAACATTCCAAGGGCAATTCTAGTTGAACTAACTTTGCCTCTTTAACTTGGAGATAAGCTTCTTTCAAAGATCGATTCATAATGTACTATTTGCTGAACACAATGTTTAATATTTCAATAATAACAAGAGCTGTCGGTAGGACAGCACGCTCGACTATTCTAAGTGCTTGATAGTAAAAGAGCCTTGATAATGTTAAATTTTTTAAGTTCACAAAAGGGCTAATTTTTTTTTATAAATTCATGTTATAGGCCTTAGAGAGAGTCTAATTATACAGTATTGGCTTGACTATTCGGAAGGTAATGTCACAAGGGTGTTTTATTGAGTATAATAATACTAATTACCTATGAATACATAAATTTGACAGAAAAGGTACAAAGGCAAGTTATTAAGATGTTTTATCAAGTAAATCACTGCTTTATTATTATGAATGCATAAAATTGTCCCAAAAAAGGCACAAACCCTTCAGTAGTTATGGAGATAACAGCTTACAAGCAAAACTTTACCATGAATTTCTAAGTTGAAAAAGGGGAGAAAAATCAGCCTAAATGCAAGATAGAATTATGGATCTTTGTCAGTGACCTACAATTATGACCCTAAATTCAAATGTGAAGTTTTAAATAAATATCTTTAATAGTTATTGAGATATGTAAAACTTGCATGTAAACATTAACCAAGAGACTAAGTAGAAAAGGGGATATGAATCAGCCTTAATGCAAGATAGACTTATGGAACTTGGTCAGTGACATACAATTATGACCCTCAAATTATGACCCTAAGTACATGTGTAAAGTTTAAAGTAAATATCTTTGAAGACCTTTAACCTTTAACCAAAATTTCTAAGTTTCAAATGAGCAAATAATTCTGCAAATATTGCAGGCAGAGATATGCAATTTTGCAAACATTGTTACAATAAAAAAGTATTTTAAATTTCAATTGAATATCTCAAGCAATAATTGAGATATTTTACTTTACAAAAAAACTTTAACCAAAATTTCTAAGTTAAAAAGGGGCATAATTCTGTCAATATTGTAGGCAGAGTTATCCAACTTGTCAATCTGATGTACCTTGTTACTATAAATAAGTATTGTAAGTTTCAATTGAATAACTCAAACAATAATCGAGATATTTGACTTTATAAAAAACTTTAACCAACGCAGACGCGGACAGCGAAGCTCGACTAATAAAATACTGGACGCAGTAAGGAGGACAAAACTATGAAAGAAAAATCAATTATGTATAATTATGTATTAAGTTATAGTAAAAAAATAACATTTGTTAACATTAATTCCAAGATCAAGGGGAATAATTCTAGAAATAGTCATGCTAGAGTTATGGACCTTATCACACAAGATTTGTGTAATGATAAGAAATATATATTTGAAGTTTGAAGTAGATACCTTAAAAAGTAAAGAAGTTATTATATTTCTTAAAGAAAATCGTAAGTTCAAAGAGAGATAAATCTGTAAATATTGCTTCAAGAGTTATGAACATTGTCACATAAAATGTATTTGATGATTAGGAATAAGTATTTGAAGTTTGAGGTAGATACCTTTAAAAATAAAAAAGTTATAATAAAATATAACATTTTTTCTAGTAAAAAAATCTAAGTTTATGGGGAGATAATTCTTGCAATATTGGTGCTAGAGTTATGAACCTTGTCACATAAGATGTGGATGATGATAACGTAAATATATTTGAAGTATGAAGTTGATTCCTTTAGAAATAAATAAGTAACAGTAAAAAAAATAATATTTTTTATGGAAAATTCTAAGTTCAAAGGGAGATAAATCTGAAAATATTGGTGCTAGAGTTATGAACCTTGCCACATAAGTTAGGGAGGATGATAACGTAAATATATTTGAAGTATAAGGTTGATCCCTTAAGAAATAAAGAAGAAACAGTAAGAAATAGCATTTTTTTAGGAAAATTCTAAGTTCAAGGGGAGATAAATCTGAAAATATTGATGCTAGAGTTATGAACCTTGTCACATAAGATGGGGATGATGATAAGGTACATACATTTGAAGTACGAGGTTGATCCCTTAAGAAATAAAGAAGTAACAGTAAAAAATAGTATTTTTTTAGGAAAATTCTAAGTTCAAGGGGAGATAAATCTGAAAATATTGGTGCTAGAGTTATGAACCTTGTCACATAAGATGTGGTTGATGATAAGGAACATATATTTGAAGTTTGAAGTTGATACCTTAAGAAATGACAAAGTTATAGTGAAAAATATTTTACTGCACCAAAACTTTAATCAAAAATCTGGACGCGGACGCCGACGCCGGGGCGAGTAGGACAGCTCTCCATATACTTCGTATAGTCGAGCTAAAAATGGTTCTAATCTACGATTAAACCAGATGTATATTGCTAAGTAAAACTTTCCATTCCTGTCTTTTGACAGGGCAAAATCGCACTGATGCCCATGGGTGGAGCACAATTTAATACCGAAAATAATTGACGAATCAGAATGTATTACAACATGCCAATGGTACACCGACTTACTTGTTGGCAGCATCATGTACATGAGGTGCGGCCTGTTCCACCAGTAACGATGAGAACTGTAACAACAATATCCTCACGGCGTCGGAATTCCCGAAAGGATTTTCCGGATCAATGACCTTGTTGATAAAAACACTGACGATATTGTCTGGATTATCTTGATCCGGTTGAGCCGGACCACCGATCAATTTCTCCCCGTCACCCGACTCAAACGATTGTTGAAAGCAAGGCAGAAGGACATACTGAATAATCTGTAATACAGTACATAAAATATTATAAATGTACAATGTAAATGTTTCATAAGTTAAAACAGGAACAATTTGATAAACTATGTAGCAACATTTAATGGACAAATACAACAATAAGGGTCATTTAAAGGAAATAGGGGACAAAAAGCTAATATTCAATCTCAATCTTTTTTTTTCCAATGTATAATGTAAACATTGTAAAAACTACATGTAACTAGAGGGCCATGATGGCCCTGAAATCGCCCCTGTGCCAAGGCCAATTTTAAACCAGGAGCTTTTATTCGAAAAAACTTGGTAGACAACAATTAAAAGATGTTTCATGCTAAATATCTTAGCTCTAGCTCTTTGGGGTTTTTAAAAGAAGATTTTTTTAAGTTTTTACTGTATACATAAAGGAAAAAACAATTAACCCCTAGGTCAGGGCCAATTTTTACCCCAGGGCTTTTATTTGAACAAACTAGAAGATGTTTCAGGCTTAATATTTAATTTCATGCTTAATTATTCTGGAAAAATGGAGTGAAAAAGTGACCTGAAATTTTGCACAGAAGCTTTTGGTCCAAACATAAATCAAATAGAACATTAATCTTGGAGAAATATTGTCAGTCCCTTTACGTCAAAAATCCTCAGTGGAGTCCCTTTAAAATTGACAGAAAACTAGAAATTGTATCGGTTTAACAACATAAACATACCTTAGCCTTGAGAACTTGATTCCAGGCAGCATCATGGAAAACTTCAACAAATCTAAAGAACGCTTTCCTCTTCCAGTCCACAGAGTAACTCTGAAAATTAGAAAACAATGAGTATACCAATTTACAGTGACATTATGTTCATTTTTTTCATCGTCAAGTTGAGCTGAATTGACTATATATTTTTAAAGATTGACAGTTATCATGGTTTTTTAACAACAGTTGATACTGAAAAATCTTTGGGATAAAAAAATCAATCTGCCTAAAATATTAAAAGACTGCCCCTGTCTTTTATAAACTGAACATCACAGGTAATTTCTGAAGGATATTTATAAATTTTATTGATTCATATGAATTATTTATTGTTAGTGGTAAGTAAATTATCAAATTGAATTGAATTATGGCAAAATGTCAACTTATATTGGCTTTCACCTGTTCACTCCCTATCTACACTAAGATGGGCATAGTGTTGCTTTAAAAAAAAATTTAAAATTGGTTTTTACAAGAAATCATTTTTTTGGCTCATAATACCTATGTACAAAAGGGATCAATATATCTTTCTGGTATTTCATAATTTATATGTGAAATATTAAATATATCAAACAGTTATTTAATTGACCATGTCAGTACAACATTTTATAATATACTTACAGCAGCTACAGTGTTGTCTAGGAAATCTTTAACAAACTGATACTGTGGCACGTGACGTGAAGTGAAACATCTCAATATGTGAAACAATAGCTCTATCTCATTCACATTGTGTCTGAAATAATCAGATAATCTTGTATTAACTCATTTAATATCTGGCCGTTAATATCGTTCTTAACACTTAACCTACTCAATATATGTATTGTAATGAATTTGCCAAGCCTTGAATTTGGAACACAGCCAAATATCATTAGCTTGGTGCAAAAGTTACAAGTATGACATAAAGGAGTTACAATTGTATTGCACAAAATCCCTCATCTGTAGCCCTTATGCTTCTGCGCTACCTGGACATGTCCCGTTTTAATTTCAATGATACAAAGTCTCGACTTACTTGAAATAATTCAGCAAACATTTCACAACTAGAGATGGGACCTTCCAGTGAGTGTAGTCAGAGATATCCTGTACCTATAATATACAAATTCAGTTTCGTTGGTTTTTTTTTTTTATATCTACATGTAATTTCAGACCTCATATACTGCAGGTTTATTACAGCACAAGTTGTAATTTTAAAGAATTCTTACCTATCCTATATATTTAACTACATAAATAATTTAGATCACTGCCAGTCTAGTGTTGACAACAACAGTACTGGGAATTTTTTGGTATTTTTTGACTCACTTTATGTAATTCTTTGGGATAGTAAGACTCTTGGGGGAGGGGGGGGGGGGGCTATTGTTACTCACTATCCAGTTTAAATTTGACTTTACTTCTACTTTTTGAACATCTGTATTTTGATATTCACAGAAAAAAAGACTTGATTCTGCAGGCATTCTAATATCTAATAATACAGTCTAATCAATTGGGAGTGCTTTTAAGTTGGCTTCTTAAAAGTAAAAAGAGAGTACTGGTTTTGACTGAGAATATTAATATGTTATGCCTTCACATATAAAAGAAGTCTCTGTCTTACCGACTTATCTGCTTGAAATTCGTCTGTTACCCAGATCTTCTTCAGACATTGTACCTATTTAATGTACAAAACAAAAAAAATATATGGCTACAACCAAAAACATATATATCATAGCTATAAACATGTTAGAAAAAAAACTTTGTTTAAAATGGAAAAATCAAGTATGACACATAGTCAAACTTATGAATAAATATTGATTATATTATCATCAAGTTTAAATAGATCTATTTCCCTTCAATTCAAATGAAGTTTTTTTCTATATCATTTCATGTTAAGAGAAGGAAATATTATCAAAAGAACCTGTGCAACACTAAAACTGATTCATTAAGACAGCAACCTTCAGTTTAGTTATATATTTTTGGTCTTTCAGAATTATTGATTCCAGCACTGTTCAGTGTTGAAAATTGAGTAACGCTCAAGCGTTTGCTAGGGGACGTGAGGGATGTTGCACTTTTTCAATATCCCTCATGTACAGACTCAAATCAAACCAAGTCTGCAATTTTCATGAAATTTTGTTGTGATTATTGCTTCCGAGGGATCACACTTTATCCAGATCTTTTTAACTATTCAGCTGAAGAGGCCAAGTTATGTACAAGGCAGTTACAATTTCTCATTTAATTTCATTATCTGTTGTTGTTGTTGTAGTTAAAGTAGTAACAAGTATAAACTTATCACTCTCTGTTAATGAGGTCAAATTAAGTACAGAAGAGTCCCAACTAATCATTATAAGTATGGTTCCGATGGTAACCATTTTGTATCACAACCGCATTAACTTACCAGTTGTGACTGGTTTGACAACCAATCGTCTTCGTGTCTGACCAGGGTATGAGTGAGAACAATGCCCTGGTACTCTAGCTCGCCATGTGCAGCAGGTGTCACATTCTGTTGTTGCTGATTTATTGTCAATGTCAGCTGAGCCTATAAAATACAAAATATTTTTCATTCTTTCAGTCTTTGCAAAGTAAATAGCATTTACAGCAACATATGAGCTGCCTGCCCAGAGCCAAACCAGCCAGCAAGATAACTGAAAAGGGAATCAGGCAACATAACCACAAGACCACTTCTACCCTTCATTAGCTTTGTAATTCAGCAAATATACCTGCATAATCAACTTATTTCGGTTCAGCATGAAAAAAACTACAATGTACCTGAGCATTCCCTGTAAGCATGGAAATCAATTTAGGAAACTGCGTTTTCATCACATCTCTGAATGGCTGACCGTCTTTGTGACCAAGAAGATACTGAAATATATAAACATGTCATTGTCAATGTACTGCCCATTATATATGTAAACTTTAAACTTTTGCCTTTACATCCCTTGGCTTGTAAACAAATTTTGGTGTTTCCATAACTAATATCCCTTCAACTCCTAATTGACTCTTCCAGATTTCAAGTAGAGCAGGTCATTTTACACAAATCAGCTTAGGAAGTATTTTAAACAGCAATGAACACTTCCAAATTTAAAGCAAGGAAAAATCTATTTTACAAATTAAGAAGAGCAGAGCTTAACAAAGAAACAGACTATTCCCAATTCAAAGCCTACAGGCCCTGTCTACAAACTTTGCCAAGTATAGGTCGAGATATATATTTATATACATACCACAAAATATCTGAGGTACTGAATGTCCCTAATGTTTGTATCATTCATCAGATAGTCCACAGTTTGTAATGGATATCTCACCAGAAATTTCCTCAATGGTTCTCGGAACGGACTTCCAGGCTGTTAAAATATACACAATATCATTTTTCATTGAAAATAAATATATTTTTTTTTAACATTATCTTTTCATTAACTTTATCATTATGATTTTTATAAAAAATTTATAGGTATTGTAGCTTGTGGCCTGTAACAAGATTTCTAAAGTAATTGAAACTTTATCTGAGGATGAAATAAATACTTCAATGAAACAGATTTATCCATTTATTTGTAATTTAAATAATTACATTTTATTTCACACATTGGGGTATACTTCAGACATACCCTAAGCTGAAACATAAACCAAACAATTATGATTCCAAAGTCATGTGCAAACTTTCAAGTGAATAATGCATGCAAAGTTTCAACTTCAATGATAACTGACAAAATGAGGTAACTAACAAAACCCTAACTGTTACACTGACTCAACAATGATGCCCTAGTGAGGATAGCTTTATAATTCTTCAAGCTTTACGAAGCATTACAACAACACCAATGCTGACGCCAGATTGATTAAGATATCTTTACTATTCTTAAAATGGTTAAGCTTAAATATCAAATTTTTGTGCATTTAAGTAAATATCACCTACCTCCATGAGTAGTGTTTTCTCTCCATGTAAGGCAACCTTGAGTAAAGGCTCGATCATTTTCTTACTGGCAGCTGGTATAAGATGAAATATGTTGATAATAGCGGCACAGATCTTCAGTTCCTAAAGTCAAAAATCTTCATACGTATATCATACATAGACAGATCTCTTCCAAACTTTAAACTTTTTAAAATATAAAATATCTAGAGATATGTCCGGAGAAAATAAATGCCCCCACAATCCACTGTTTTTAAGGTCTACAGACAGCCAGATGGATGGATGGAAAATATCCACAGCTTTACATTGATTATGAAATATGAATTTTTCTACATTTCTTTCACTATAAACTTTTACTATATAGCCTAACGAATTTGATTGTTTAAACTCAGGAAACATGCAGCTTTAAATAAGGCCATTATCATAATCTACTAAATCATCACAGTAAACTTTAGTCTAGACCAAAACGAAAATGTAACATCTTAAAATTACCTGACCAGTGGCTCTGACCTGACCAGATTTCTGACTTCCCTGTGCTATCTCGAGCCACTTCCTAAGATGAGTCTGTGAATATAAATGTTGTTCTATGAATACATACAGAAATAATATTATTATCTAAAGATAATCAAATATTCAGATCCATGAACTGAGACAGAAAAATTTACATCAAGAAGCAATTTTAGCATGTCAAATTGGTGTTGCATACAAATTCATCCAAACTGCGCTACATTTTTGACTGTATCTATAAACACCATTGTTTGTCTGGGTTTTTTTATGCAGATTTTTACATAATATTAAAGTCATCCCTTGCCAGTCTGGTCAATAAAATCAGTTTTCAGGATAACTAACCAGTAATTACCAATTCCTCCCCAAGTGACCGGCTACTAATCCCACATCAATTCTAAATCAACACTGTGACAGAGTAACAAGTGACCATGAGACCCAAGATCAGAGATCAACTGTTACGTAGGAATTTCGCCTTGCTGAGTATGGAATATGCGACCCTTGGATTACAAATGCATTGTTCTCCTAATGAGCTAAGTGGGCAAACATATGAGCCGCGCCATGACAAAACCAACATAATGGGTTTGCGACCAGCATGGATCCAGACCAGCCTGCGCATCCGCGCAGTCTGATCAGGATCCATGCTGTTCGCTTACAAACCCTATAACAAGTAGAGAAACTGATCGCGAACAGCATGGATCCTGATCAGACTGCGCGGATGCGCAGGCTGGTCTGGATCCATGCTGGTCGCAAACGCACTATGTTGGTTTTGTCATGACGCGGCTCATATCACCTTTGCATGATCCTCATATAAAAGAATAACAGAAATATTCTCAAGTATTCAAATGGATATTAAGATTTATCAACATGCAATATCTCAATATATAGATCCTTTATCCTTTTCATCTAATTGATTTATGAACTTTTTACCTAAGTGATTAATGCTCACATGAGAAATTTTCACCAAAGTGATTTATGCTCACATGATAACTTTACACCTATGTGAACAACAAATCTACAACTGTCAAACCCACTTACCAGCAGTTGTTCACACAGCTTCTCGTTAAACGTGTTTGGGAACAGCTGCGTCAGACTGGACAGTCGTTGAATTACGTTAAGGTCCAGGTTACGATAATCTCCCAGCATCAGCAGTAGCGGCCGCATAGCACCATGTACAATCTCCATCTCTATATGACCACTGGCAATAAACTGGAGCAGAAAAAAATATCATTGTACTATACTACTTAAACACAGTAAATTTTTGTAAAACAATATAGTTATATATGACACCTATCTACATTGTGTCAGGGTAAAAGATAACTACATATATAAAAATTTGAATAATTGTCATACCTTTTTCATACAGTCATGGGCCACCTCTTGAAGTTCACTTGTTTTACTGTTCAAGGCTTTGTATAACACTGCAAATATTTTCTCTCTCTTTGTAGTTATATAGGAACAAGCTGCTAAGGCTCCTGTTAAAAAATGTACAATGATATGCATGGTGAAGTGAAAGGCTTGATGAAGTAAATCACTTTACAACAATTAAATTTTAATAGCTGTTTAACTAAGTTTTCATGCTAACATATTTCAAAGTTTCAAATTTCTCATAAAATCCATTAACAAGGAAAAGACATATAAAATTAATGCAAGATGTGCAATATAACAACACTTGGGTAAGTAAAAAAATTACTGGGGAAAAAAACAAACAAAAAACATACTGAATCATCAAAATAATGCATTTGGGATTTTTAAAAAAATTTTTTTTACATTTTTTCCTTTCATCTGTCAACTAAACGAAATTAAAGCTTTATCTTAAATACCTCACTGTAACATGGTATATTTGATACAGTATAATGTTTTTTCTCTTACAAAATAAGACTTACTCAGTGCACTTTTCCTCAGTGGTAATAGGTTGGTAACCGATTTATAACAGGGCAACTTCAGTAACACGGAGTCCTCAGCATCACACAGGTTTTGTAACTACAATTTAACAATGGCATTTATTATTTATTATTCAAAGATGGCATACAGTGTCTTCCATAAAATATGTTCAATGCATCCACTGCCTGCATCAAACTGACCAACATCTTCATTTAACCTTTACAAGTCCTCCAGAACAGTATTAGTCATTTTGTACTTTGGAGGAAAGTGTAAGATACAGATACAGAAAGATGCCCTAATTCCAGAAGTTCCTCCTGGTTCTTAAGCGTGCCAAGTGTTTAAGCACTCATACACAGGACCTCGATTTAAAGACTCATCTGAATGACTGATTAGTAATTTTTGTTGGCAAGCCCGGAAGTTGAACCCACAACGTAAAGATTACAAGTCTCGCGCTCTAACCATTTGAGCTATGTGGACTGGCAATTGCTCTATACTGTTTGCTGACTAACCCTAAATTTTCAATTTGACATCCCCAAAATTGATTATGGCCTGAACCTTTCATCAGCTTGAGATACACTTGCAAAAAAAAATCAAATTCTATATAAATGAAAAATTAAGGTGCAGCACAAAGATTATTCTAGCTACTGACTTATAATAAAACTGATAACTCACCTCTTGGAAGTAGACATTGTGCTCCGTAATATTCAGATCAATCGTAAACAATCGGGGGTTCAAACTAGTACAAAATGTGTTACCATCCTAAAATAACAAGCCAGTACTTATCAGCATACAAAAGGACTTCATAACTTCAACATTTTTGAGTTTTACATCAATATTGCATTAAACTTGATAGAGAAGTTTGTGTCTTTTATTCATACAAAAATTTTGTCAATTACCTGTTTAACGACAAATTTCAAAGAAAATTGGGATCTTTTTCATTGTCTAATTTTCATTTTTTTTTTTATTTCTTTGTTTTGTTTGTTGAATGTAAGACACACTAAGACTGTAAAGATCTCATGGCCATTCTCTAGTTGTACTGATGGAATTCAGTAAATAATAAGGCTTCAGCAGAGTCACCAACCTTTCATCGCCTAACAGACATGACATAATCCAGTGTTGGATTTAAACCGATATAAAAGATGAACATTGACATAGACATCACCGTTACTGAAGCCACATATAATTAAGATTTTCTTGGCAGACTAAAAAATATAGCATATTTGGCTTTAATTGCTTAAATCTATTCAATTTCAATGGGGTTTCTTGTTTCTCCCACAAGCCAATGGAAAAAAAAACATAGATCTTTTGGTTGCTAACATTCTTTATATAGATCAAAGAGACAGCATAAATAGTAAACAAAACATACAATAAGACCTTAAATACAGATCCAAGAGACAGCCCAAATATCAAACAGAACATACCATAAGGCCAATCTGAGCATTTGCTGGTTGGTGTCGTAACAGGTGTTTCTTCGGTGGAATCATATCCTGTAATACTTCTTTATGTGGCTCCATGATGGCCGTTACAGTCTGGCTGGTCACCTGGGCCAGTGTCTCCAGTGATTTCATAGCCTGAATGAAAGTATATAAAGAGAACATATTTAAACTTGTGGATGTAATAAATTGGGGGATGGGGGTTGTTGGGGTTTTTTTTTTTTTTTTTTTCTGGGGGGGGGGGAGGGGCGTGTTTAAGACAGATTTAACACCAGTTTTGTTATAACTCGGCAGTCAGTCCGCCTAAAATAACAAGCCTAGAAAAAGGTAAATAACAAAAATATCTTAATTTCTCACGTAACATATAACTTATTCAATAAAGTTTCTATACAAAGACACACGTAAACAATGACACTTTATTTGTTTATTTATTATTCCCAAGGCCAAAAACATACAGCCATAACAGGATTCATATCCCAGCAATTATAATAGATATAACTTTACTCTTGGCTACTTAATTTTAGAGCAAATATATCAAAATTTTTACATTACATAATTGTAGCAGGGCAAGAAAATTACACAAATATTAGTTTTTTTGGATTTTGTTTTGTTTACCCACTGTTTAAACCAAGTTATGAATCTTTATTGTATCTTAGTCCCCAGTCAACTAATAACAATGCAAACCAAATTGATAAAAAATATGCTTGGCATCTCTCTTGGGCAATTTTCGAGTTTTTTTTCTCTTAGGCAATTTTTGAATTTTTCTTTTTGGCAATTTTCCAGTTATATAAAGTGTTTTTTTACTAACCGTCTCTCTCACTGTTGTATTTGGTGAGGTGACCTGCCGTACGAGCTCGTATGTCACATCATGGAATGATTTCTTCTGTACGTACAACATGTCCTCGTTGGCGTTCTCCCCTTCCAGCTTCCTCGCACACATCATCAACATCGAGTCCAGGTTCGACTTGGCCAGGTCCACAGCCCCGCTAGATACCTCACCCGTCAGGTCCATCATGACAAAGAACAGCGCCTTCAGGAAGTGGAACTGGTGTTCGAGCACCCAACGTAAAGCCATTCGCTCATTCATAGACTTAATAGCTAAACAGCTGTAACAAGACGGTTAGAATGATCAAAATTTAATTTATCTTGATGGAAAAGCACTTGTTGTTTATCAATGATTTCATCTTTTTTAATCATTAAAATAATTAATCTACATTATTATTTTTATTTTCACTTAAATCATAAAAAATTACAACCCACTGCTTTGAAAATACTAACTTTTATAAAAACATTTGAGCCGCGTCACAACAAAACCAACATACTACGTTTGCGACCAGCATGGATCCAGATCAGCCTTTGCAGTCTGATCAGGATCAATTCTGTTCACTTACCAACTCTATTACAAGTGGAGAAACTGACAGCGAACAGCATGGATCCTGATCAGACTGCGCGGATGCGCAGGCTGGTCTGGATCCATGCTTGTGGCAAACGCACTATGTTGGTTTTGTCATGACAGGGCTCATTTACTGTATTTGAAGAAATATTCAGTTGGAACGATGATGTATAAAAGTCTCTAAGAATCTTATTCTTTCTTCAAGAACATAGATATGGACAAAAAAGATACTATAATAAAACTTTCAAAATCTAATAAGTAGTAGAACTCACAATTTCTGAAACAATTTTGGACAAAAAACAATGCAAAACAAAATAATTTTCCCTACAACAGAGGTTTTTCCAGCTATGTATAAAATTACTTACCCTCCAAATTTGGCATACCATGCCCTATCATAGCACAGAGAACACATCTTCTCCACAAGGTACTCAAACAGTGGCAACTGACAAGCCTGTAAAAACGTATATTTACAGAGTATTGATTTCATATTCACACGTAAAGATTATATCCTTTAACCTGCTATATAATTATATGTGAAATGGATATACAATAGAACTTCTATGAGTCAATTTTCAATTATTCGATTTTCTTCTTGTGCAAGTTCTATACTTTTGTAAAGAAAATTTACCAAAAAAATAGTATGCCAGAACATTTAGCCATCAAAAAACTAAAAAATTAGATTCATAGAAAATAATTTTGTCTCTTCTGATCCAATTGTAAAATGAAAATATTTCAATAAATTCAAATATATACTTCATTGAAACATAGCCAACCAATCATCCTATATTGTTAGAACAAATATCATAATTCATCTACAACTTATTTATATACTTCTACATTACCAATCTTTACTGTCTAGATATTTTTTCAAGTCATAGAAGATTGACAGATATAAAATCTATTCTAATGTAACAAATCACCGCTTTACCTTTTCTTTTGAGCCAAGTATCGTTGTAGCCGTATCAAGAATCAAAACTAGGGCCAGATTGCCAGGTTTACATAACTCTTTCTCCTCGTGCCCCATGATCACAGCCAGGGCATCTATCAATATCTGCGTGTCCATACCCTGTAGTTTATTCTGCCTATCGCCCACCGGAAACGGCCCGCACTGCTGCGATATGGCTATCATTGTGTAGTGACGTACCATACAACCCATGAACCTAAGCGCCGACTGTCGTAGTTCTTTAATGGCAGCCGCAACTGTAAAATGATAACAATATAAACTTGTCAGATATAGAGATAAAAATATAAATACGACATTATCCTGCTTAAAATTGTGTAACAGACTTTTGATTCGGAATGGTCTATTATTACTTATAGGAATGTTTACATCAAGACGCTGAAACTAAATTTCCAACAAAATATAGTCTGGTGCATGGAAGTGCTATCAATTTACAAAATTAATGTTTGACACAGAATTCATTCCCTTTCTACTCCCCATCGACTATGCATTACTTAATTGTTTTTTTGTTCTTCTTTTTAAATCCCGTTAAAAAATTAAAATAAAAGAAAGAAAAAAACTTCGTCTTAAACAGAAGATTGTTATATACTAATGAAATTCACTTTTTGCAAAATAAAATTTATAGTACATGTCGAGTATTGATGTTGACAGACACGATCCCCCCATTTCTTCAAATCGACTTAATATTTCCCTGACCCTTGGCATCAAACCCTTGTAAGATTATAATAGCCCGGATCAAGAATTCTATACTGCTGCAACAGACCTATAATGTGTCACCTTAGTGCACTAATAGGCTTAGTCCTACTCCATCTACATGTAAATCTAATAGGAGTTAACCCATTACTTTACTAAGGTGACAAATTATTGCAAGCAATCAAACATTTATAATCAGATATACATTGCCTTCCACTGAGATCCAAAAGCATAAAAACATAGAATATGAATTTCTTACACAGATCTGCTGGGGCACATAAAAGTTTAAAACAGAAATATATGCAAAAGATAATAAAGAAATTTACTCACAAAGAATTTGAAAAATGTATTTTTTTGCTATTCCTACCCCAGTTTGAATGTAGTGTTGCACTGTTTTTGGATCATTTTTCACAATTAGAATAATAATTCTGGAAATAACAGTGTGAGTCAATGATCTGAACTTAATGGTCTAAACCCGCATCAAATGGAACATTAATCTCAAAAAAAATTATTTCCAGTTCTGTTGCATAAAAAAACCCTCAAAAACGCTTTCAAAACACTCACCAAACATCCCAGTCAAAGCTTGCTCGTGAACTTTTCTCGAGTGAGAATCTGGATTCTTGTACAGCTGATTATTTGGCGCTGGAATCTCTTTCTCTGTAAAACTGAAAACAAAAGCCACATGTAGCAATCAAGCTTAAACAAAATGCCCACATTTCAGAATTTATGACACAGGACAGAGACAGGAAGTGGATCCAAAACTGTTTCCGCATTTAATTCCACGCCACATTTCGAAATTCTAATTTTTAAAATGGGATTTAACTCACTGCAGACTTGAGCACCAGAATTCATGATCATAAAGTAGGAAAATATCACTTATTTTGCTGTTTCTAGTATTACTCATTCATTATTGTCTATAAATCGGTGTGATGAGATGAATTAGACTTCGTTAAGTGCATGTCCATGGGTGAAAAGGCAAGATTTTAGCATTTAATCATTTAAATCTCCTTTGTCCGGTATATACCCGAATACGGTATTTTGTGTATTTTTAGTCTCACTTTTTATAAAGACAGTACCTCGGATGATTAAACAAGTTATCCAGGGTGGGTTTGTCGTCCTCAAGGTTCATGACGGAGACAAGGAAGCATTTGATGAGTTCCCAGGCCTGCCGTCGGTAGTAGGTGTCCGTGCTGCTACACTTGAGGGCCGTCAGGGCCGCATCGATAGCCTTCTCTACTGGTAACGAGACGGGCGTCTTGCAATCTTGGAAATATATAGATATACAGGGACCCACTGTCTCCTTGTCGTTGAATTGTAGCTGCAAACCACAGATAAATTCAGTTGTATAGTATATTAAATATAACTTCACTTTAGTGCAATAACTAGTTAACTAATTAAATTCAGAAGCACTTAACCTGTTTTTGCACTAAGGTGATGATTAACATTATTAAGTAAATGTTTATCTCTAAATAAATACACCTTTCACTCAAACTAAAACAGAACATTTTCTTGCTCCCCTCTAACTAAAGGCATTTTCATTCACTCATAAATGAAAGCATTTTTAACTAAACCCTTACATAGACCATCAAACTTGAGCATTTTTCATTCACCTATAATTACATACACATTTTGAAGTGGTGACATGAAGTAGAAGCATGGCCGAGTGGTTTACACCCTAGATTAGTAATGTAAGGATAGCTTTCCACATGGGTTCAAACCCTGTTAGGAGCATGCCGTTGTTCCCTTGAGCAAGAAACTTTACACTCATTGCTCAGTACAGGTTGGTTCCAGGAACAGATTTGAGAGCGTGTCTATAATCTTTAAGCATCTTACACAATCTAAATAATTTCTGTATAAACCAAATACACATTTCATGCAAAGCATTTTTCATCATAACCTAAATAACGGTACTTGTTAAACAAACTGCACAGATTTCTATCTAGCCTACCCTGGCTCTACAATGGTAAAATAGGCCAAATGCCCATTACTGCAAACACTTAAGCAGTAAAAAATCAGAACATACTGTCTGAGGTTCTCTCAACATTTTCCTGTTGCCGCCACCAAATTTTCCAAGCACCCTGAATGCCACATGAGCAATGTTGTCTACGGGGTTCCGTAATGTTCTCCACAGAGCTTGCATTAACTCTGCTCTGACCGGCTGTATGTGATCGTACAGGAAATCTGGTTGCAGGTTGTCCACGCACAACTCGAGTGTTCGTAAACCCTTTATCAAAATGTAGAATATTTAGCATTACGAAATAAAATGCTGTTTATTTAACACCAATTTTCGCACTCATTTTTGGTCATATCTGTTTTGATGGGTTCACCAAACCAGCCTTCCTGGATAACTTATCAGTAATAACAATTTCTCTGCAAGTGGCTGATTACGATTCCCACACTATTTCCAAATCAGCTGTGAGAGACAAAATTTGAGGGTTGAATGCAAAACTGTTGTAAGTCTTTCTTTATTTCATATAAGTTACTGCAGTTTTGCAGTCAACCCTCCATCAATTTAATGACGATTTGACTAAATGTCTGAGATCAATATAAATACTGTAAATTAACTTAATTTCATGGGAATAGAATTTCGTGGTTTTGTCACTAAAGAACATTTTCGTCGGTTCTTAAATTTCGTGGACTATTTTTTCCCAAAAGTTAAAATGTACCAGAATCTGATGCAAAATCATCTTTCAGTAGATGGATCTTAAATTCGTGGACTGACCTATCCACGAAAACCATGAAAATTAGTGCCCCCGAGATTAATAATGATTTTGCAGTAATTGGAAATACGGTAAATGAAAATTCTTTCTGTATTATAACAGAAGTCACACTGGACATGTTTTTCTTCATTATATTCAAGGAACTTGCACTTTTTTTGCTTTATTGATAAAGACACCTAAACAAGAGCTAGGCAAAATCTCAAGGTCTTCTATCATTTATTATCACCTTTAATTTAACATCACTAATGCTAATAAATATGCATCTATATAAAAAGCAAAATTCTGTCCATAGCTCTAATTAAAGAACAAATATATAGCAATTATGTACTAGTATCAAAATTTAAACAATAAAATCAAGAATCTCTTACCTGACTCACTAAGGTTTGGGATCCGTTGAGGGCGGACACTAGTGGGTCCATCAGCATGGGCAGGTATGGCAAGAGGGAACTGAGCCTCACGGGAACTGTCAAACACAATTCTACAAACAAATCCTTCATATGCTGCCGATGTAAGCCACTCTGTAAACTGTTCAAGCCTGAATCACAAATTTAGATCAGTTTTTTTCCCCACTCTTGACAGTTAATATACATGTATAAATCAAATATCAGGTTTTTTCTCCACTCCTGACAGTTAATATATAAATCAAACCACTTTTAAAAAAAAATATTTTGTCTTCTTAGAAGCCAACCTTAAGTGAAATTGTAATATAGTCAAAAAGATATTATAAATATCAAGCTGGTACACTTGAACCCTGTAAAAATCAAACACATCATTTTTATCAGCATATTCTAAATATTTCACGCAATCATGTGTTTGTACAATTTTAACATCTTTGACCCATTTCAACAACAACAAAAAAAATGAAATTTTTACAGTGAATTAGTCTGTTTCACACAAAACAAATATGATTGATTGTACCATTGGGAATTAATGCAGACACAGTTTAAATGTTAGGTATGCCCAACAATACAGCCTTCCAGATGAGGGGAGCAGTGACCCAGTGGTTAAGGTATCTGCCTCTAAACCCAGGGATCATGGGTTTGAGCTCCTACTCCCGTCAAAATCATGTTTCTTCATATGATACTAGTACTGGTTGGTTTCAAGAAGCGAACTTGAAAGTGATTAATATAGGAAGCGGACTTGAAAGTCAATAATATGTCACAAGAGCAGGTTTTGAAATCGAGCTAAAATAAGTATGATGTAATACACATTCCGGGCTATAATTCAAAAATTTACAATGTTTGGTATTTGTGGTCACAACAATTTAAGGATTATGTGGTCATTATTTAGATTGTTTAAAAGATGCAAGAAGAGAGCACTTTGTTGTATTTTGCATCCATCGAGTATTGTACCTTTGACAAATGAAAGAATTCAAGTACTCTTCAACCACAATTATCAGGACAAATAAATTATAACACCTTTATCCACACAGAACATAAAAGACTTAGGTTATGATCTGCACTTTATCACTCAAACTTATACCTTGTAACAAATTTGGTAACAAGGGAAGGAACTCTTGATACAGAAGATCATGACTGCCGCCACCGATGGAGCGGAACAATGCTCGTAGCAGGAGAAAATAATTGTACGGCTCCTTGGCACTCATCGCAAGCTCCATGGAACGATTGACTATAGTATGCAAGTGAGGCTGAAAAGAAATCCAAATACATAAAATCATACTGCATAGGTGTTAAAGTTAGCTAAGCGGAAATATTGGTGAATTTCTCAAATTGACGAAAGTCGCTAAAATTTCCTCCAGTGTAAATATCAACCAACCTGTCATTAAATTCTACCCTTGCACGATTCACAATTATTTCCCAAAGTGAAATGTCTGGAACTTTATATTCATTAACATTTCAGCACACGAAAATATCGACTGATACAGTATATGGAAACCACTGTATTACACATTTACCCTAATTTTAATTTCATTCAAGAAATTCACAGCTTCAAATATTTTACACTTACTATTGCTTTCAATTATTATTTCTTAAACTATAAACATTTGAATGAAGAATTAATGTTAATAGTGATGCTATGTAGTGAAATTTTACACATTTCATTTACCTTGGTGCCCTTTTTTATGTCTACAAAACAAATGAATGTGTCCTCGTTTTGAGATCCATATTCTCATCTAAAAGGTGGGAATACCTATACAGCTCAAAATAATACCATACTATTACAATTCTGGCAGGTGAAAGGTTCAACGCCAGACTTAGAAATTGATTTTTTCCCCCAAAAAGCAATAAGAAATGCAGAACACTGTCGTGACATTCACGGTGTCATTTGTTTTCATGATTTTAGATCATCAACAATATCTGGTACTTACCTTTAACATTTGCTCATTCTCATTTGCAAACAAAGACACAGAGCCAAACACCAGCTTGAATAACTTCAGGTATAGATTACTTCTCTCCATGTTACCTAAGAGTATAAAAGTATATCAACATATTTGAAGATTAAAATGTATTTTTTTATTGTTGTTGTTGGATTTTTATGTTACATCAACAAAGCATAGGTCATATGTCGACTATACAGCCTTGCTTATAAAGGAAGACATCAGGTGCCCTTCCTTGCATTATTTCAGACACAAACTGGCACTGGAGTCAAACTTTTCGTTATCTAGCATGAAAGAATTCAAAGTCGCTGTCAAGATTTAAACCCATAGTGGTGTAGGGCAAGTGGTTTGAACATAGTGGTAATACATACCCACTTGATCACAGACGCCCCATCTTAAAATGTTGTAAATGAAAAGAAAAACTACCATTTGCCCCTTAACCTGCTGAATTTTGAGAAGGGTCTCTACTACTATTTTGAAACAGTCCCTAATTGTCAGGGACTTTTAATATACTACATACAATGAAAGTTTGAATGACAGTTGGGATTTAAGCAAATTAACACCATAAAGGTTATATTGCAAGTTTCTAGTTTAAACTTGTTGGAAAATGTTTTATGTGACCCTATGTACATTATTTCAGTGGCAAGTTAACACTTGTGTCAAACCAGCCAACTATCATATGATAGTTTACACAGATTCAAATATTCATAAATCTCTGGCAGAATTCCACATAAGCCACTGCTATGTGGGACAAGTGATTTAGTCAGCTGCTTTAACGTCAATAAAAGAAGAATATGTACTTGTATCAAAATTTAACCTATATATCTAAAATCTCTTACCTGACTCACTAGGGTGAAACTGTATTTAAATATGAAAATAAAAATATGAGTACTTGTCACTGTACAAGTGGATTTGCTCTACACTTGCAGGGAAGAGAGCCTGTTTAAATCATTATTATTATCATAAAAATTGTACATATTTAAGTCTGTCAAACAAATAATTGCACATACTTCCCATTTCCTCAAGTCTTGCCAACAAGTACTCCACAAGTATCGTGGCAAACGTAGCGGACGTCGATGGGTTAGCGAGGAAAGTGTTGGCAACAATCTGCAATGCGTAGTTGTTGTGTATACGATCAACCATAAACTCTATGGTAGTTGCAAATATCTCTTTAAATGTGAACGGGCTCATCATCGTAAACTGTAAATAGTTGGAGTATTTGAAAAGTACCAGTTAATTATTCAGTTCTTATTTATCATAAAACAAAATCTCTTGAAATTATCTAAGATTTCCACGTCAAAGTAAATAAGCAAATATTAAAAAGAGGGCCATGATGGCCCTGAAGTCGCTCACCTGTATATAGGCTCCAAGAGTGGGGCCAGTTTAGTCCCCAGGGCTTTTATTTGAACAAACTTGGTAGACACCCATTAAAAAATGTTTCATGCTAAACATCTAAGGTCTAGCTTGTTGAGTTTTTTAAAAAATGATTTTTTAAGTTTTAACTATACACATATAGTTCAAAGCAATGACCCCCCTAGGGCGGGGCCAATTTTGCCCCTAGGGCTTTTTTTTTTAACAAACTTTGAAGACACTCGCTAGAAGATGTTTCATGCTTAATATCTAAACTCTAGCTATTTAGTTTTTTTCAAAGAAGATTTTTTAAGTTTTTGCTATACACATATAAGGAAAATCAATGTCCCCCGGGGCAGGGCCAATTTTGACCCCAGGGCTTTTATTTGAACAAACTTTGAAGACACTAACTGGAAGATGTTTCATGCTTAATATCTTTACTCTAGCTATTTGGGTTTTTTCAAAGAAGATTTTTTAATTTTTTGCTATACACATAAATAAAATCAATGACCCCTGGGACAGGGCCAATTTTGACCCCAGGGCTCTTATTTGAACAAATTTGGTAGACACCCATTAGAACATGTTTCATGCTAAATATCTTAGCTCTAGCTCTTTGGGTTCTTTAAAGATTTTATAAGTTTTTACTACAGTCGACTATCGTTATCTCGACATCGCTTTTCTCGATATTTCGTTATCTCGATGAAATTTTGAAAGTCCCGATTTTCTTCCTTCTTTATCTATATTGGAAATATGTGTTTATCTCGATATTTTTATTTCGATATTTTCAGTATCTCGATGTAAAATTTCAGCCCCAATAGATATTTTCACACTATCATCCTTTGTTTATCTCGACTTATAGTTTTCTTTCGTCTGTTCCCTTCAGACGTGTGAAAAACACAAACTAGACGATAATTGCTCAATGGCGTGTGTCATAATGATGATAATGTTTTTAACAAGTTTAGCTGTTATAAGTTAATCTATTTAGCGTGTTGATTGACTTATGTCCAAAATGAGTGGATTTTACGTTCTTTATAAATATTCGAACACTGTATTAATTCATTATGACTTTAAATGTAAATGAAATAGTGAAAGTATAGAAACGCTATCGTTGCAATATTGTTTTGCAATATCACCACCAAATCAATCAGCGGCCGAACAATCTCGAGAAATCCCCGATAAATAACCCGGAAGGATATCCGGATCAACCATCCTGAAAACAATGTTTTCACTATATTGGTGTATTACTGAGTAAACCTCACTATGTGTTTTTATCACAGACACCCGTATTTCTGCTGGTAAACATCCGCTAATGTTACTGTGTTAAATATTGGCTAGGCCTATGAAAATATGGGGATATCATAGTTTATTTGACATAAGGTATGCACATGACTTTTGTAAAAATCGGTTTCTGCCTTATTCAAACCCTAATATGTTTATCTCGACATTTCGTTATCTCGATATTTTTTGGACGGTCCCGATGACTTCGAGATAACGAGAGTCGACTGTATAAGCATATAGGGAAAATCAATGACCCCCTGGGGCGGGGCCAATTTTGACCCCAGGGCTTTTATTTGAACAAACTTGATAGACCCTCATTAGAAAATGTTTCATGCTAAATATCTTAGCTCTAGCTCTTTTGGTTCTTTAAACGAAGATTTTATAAGTTTTTACTATATGCATGTAGGGAAAATCAATGACCCCCTGGGGCCAGGCCAATTTTGACCCCAGGGCTTTTATTTGAACAAATTTGGTAGACACCCATTAGAACATGTTTCATGCTAAATATCTTAGCTCTAGCTCTTTGGGTTCTTTAAAAGAAAATTTTATAAGTTTTTGCTATATGCATATAGGGAAAAACAATGACCCCCGGGGCGGGCCAATTTTGACCCCAGGGCTTTTATTTGAACAAACTTGATAGACACTCACTAGAAGATGTTTCATGCCAAATATCTAAGCTCTACCTCTTGGGGTTTTTTAAAAGAAGATATTTTAAGTTTTTTCTATCGGTTGCCATGGCAACCAGAGTTCTGCATGGAATGAAATTCTTTGAACAATTTTTAAAGGTGACCACCAAAGGAACATTCCTGTGAAGTTTGGATGAAATTTGCTCAGTGGTTTATGAGGAGATGTCATTTAAAGTAAAAGTTTACGGACGGACGATGGACGGACGGACGCCAGACGAAAAGCGATCACAAAAGCTCACCCTGTCACTTAGTGACAGGTGAGCTAAAAAGGTAACTGTTAATCATTTAATTCCGTAAATTTTTACAAAATATCAAGCACTCTCATGAAATAATGTAAAGATAACATGTACAGGTAACACTCTGCTCTGTAAATGCTCGATGATGTACATTACCAGTAAAATATCAAGATAATAACATTTAAATCATCGTAATACAAATATAATATGATAATGACATTTAAATCATCATAACACAAAGATTGTATGATAATAACATTTAAATCATCATAACACAAAGATTGTATGATAATAACATTTAAATCATCATAACACAAAGATTGTATGATAATAACATTCAAATCATCATAATATAAAGATTGTATGATAATAACATCCAAATCATTACAACACAAAGATTGTATGATAATAACATCCAAATCATCATTGTTTGTTTGTTTCATTTTACGCCTTTTCCCAACACTATTTCAGTCATATAGGCGGGTAGTTTCCTAACCATCGTTCCTGGAGAGTTACACCAGTACTAGACTACCTTCCTCCGCGCTAAACTACCAAAGCATCTCCCGGGGATCGAACCCACCCCAGAGAGGTAACTGGATTAGAAGTCATCGACTCTAACCCCTCGACCACGGAGGCGGTATCCAAATCATCATAACACAAATTTTGTATGATAATAACATTCAATTCATCATAACACAAAGATTGCATGATAATAACATTTAAATCATCATAATATTAAAATTATAATACAAAGCTTTTATGATAATATCATTTAAATTTTCATAACACAAAGATTGTATGATAATCATAAAGATTGTATTGTACTTACAACACCAGCAAAATGTTCCAGTACTTCCTTTTCTTCTTTAGTTCTTACCGTCTGTACCCTACATTAAAATACAGAACATTTCAAGTTTCTACATCATTACATGTCCATTTCATATTACAGAAATTGACACCAAAAATATAAAAGCATTATTTAATACACAACTCAGAACTTGCAAGCTTCCTCACAAAAAAGGCTCCAAAGTCCCAGGCAGGATTCAAACCCCATGTTAGGTTTGTAACCCAAAGACATACAGCTGACTCACTCAACCAAAGAAGGGGTTTTCCTATCTTTCTGGACAGAAGGCTTAGCCTCTTGAATTTGGGAAACATTACTGTTAAAATTGTTCATTTGGGAAAAACATAACCCGTGCAAGGACTTTTAATGAATTTGCATGATTTTAAAGAAAATTTCTATTTGGAAGAGGCCCTTTATAAGCCTCTGTTATATAATGTAAATTAAAGCCCTGCTTAGTGTTTTTTATCTTTTCTTGAACACTTGTGACACTCCAAACTTTGGTTTACATCAATAAACATTTTTTTTTAAACTTATCTTGTGTAGACTGTTCCACTTTGTATATTGTCACCTTAGTGCAGTAACGTGTTAACTCCTTACATAATTCAATACCAGTTAACCCGATATATATTATAGTACTTAGTTCTTACCAATTAAACTATAATGCCACTCCGAAACTTACATACTCCACAAACTTTGTTACAAGAGAAATTCAGTTCTACAGAAACTAGCCAACCAGCATTTATTTGCAGATCAAAAACATATGAGCCGCGTCACGACAAAACCAACATAGTGGGTTTGCGACCAGCATGGATCCAGACCAGCCTGCGCATCTGCACTGTCTGATCAGGATCCATGCTGTTGGCTTACCAACTATATTACAAGTAGAGAAACTGATAGCGAACAGCATGGATCCTGATCAGACTGCGCGGATGCTGGTCGCAAACGCATTATGTTGGTTTTGTCATGACACGGCTCAATTATGTACATTTTGTTCCAACCAATGGAAAGTCTGTATCTGAGAAGAGAACTTACACAGCAGGTCTAACTACAGCTTGTCCATTAGGTGACACATTAATCGTGTAGATATCCAGCGCCTGTAGGGCATACCTCACCAGTCTTACGTACACCAGAGTCTCCTTCGGTAAGAACTGTTTGTTCTGAACTAGGCTTGTATCCGTCACATCTGAAAATGCATTTGTTCTATTTCAAAATCGTAGATAAAACACAGTGTCATTCACAAGCAGGTTTATTCATAGGACGTTAGGGCACACCGACACTGTAAAGGTCATATGGCGAATTTTCCAGGTTCACTGGAGGAGGAATGCCTCAGGTAACCCTATGTGTATAATTTCAGGCATCAGCAGGCACCTGAGCAGAACTGCAGACATTCCATAAGCTAGCTGAATTGCTCCCACACATAAAAGTCCCAGGAGGGATTAAAGTCAAACTTAGCCACCCCTTCACAGACACTCAACAGACGTAAACCCTTTCCTGTTTTTTCCTTAAATCACTGCCTACTACAGGATTAAAGAAAGAAATAATCATTACTTCAGCAGGTCAGCTTGAAATAATCATGGTAATGTATGCCTTTTACCTGTACCAGTAGCCTTGCATGACACAATACCCCAGGTGATTGTTTTCACACCACATACCAAAGTCTTCACCAAACCACGGCAGTCGGCCACAGAGTATGTGTTGTACTGACTAGGTGTCACACCAAATCTGTTCTGTGGCTAAAAGAAGAAACACAATGGAATATTTATCTAGTTATGTTTTTTAGCTCAAATTCACAGGATAGCCGTGATTGTCACAAAATATATTTACCTAATGTAAAGAAATCATTTTTGAGAAATATACAAAATTACAGGTTTTTAAACATTTAAAATGTTGACCTTTATCTTTGCTTGTAAAATGCTGAGGGTAAAACATCTTTTCACAAAGCAGAAGATATACTGGAATCAAGTATAGAGTGGCGGCATGGCAGAGTGGTTAACATGTCAGACCAGTAATCTAAGGATTGCTAGCAGCATGGCTTCAAACCCCGTCAACCCAGTCAGGGAGCAACCCATTCTTTCAGTCAGCAAGAAACTTCACACTTATTGCTTCGTACTGGTTTGTTCCAGTAACAAATTCAAGAGTATTTCAATAAGATTATAGCTTCAAACACAAAGTAAATTAAATTGGTATAAACTAATTACAGATTACTCATGTATATCCAATCTTAACTGAGCTGGCAATGTTTTAATCTTGCTATGATGGGCCATAGTGAAAATTCATAATTTATCTATCTTAACTTTCTGAAAAGTAAAACTCAAAAGATAAAAACGCGACCTTAAATCAGTAGTATACAGCCAGACCAAACAGTTACATCTAAATGCTCTGCCCAGACACGTAATTGTCAAGGGGCTGAATATGAAAAAGTATCTCTGGAAGATCGCAATCCATTACACAAACATGGCAACTCTGCAAATAATATAATTCTACGTTGTTTTGTGTTTTGTATATCTATACCTTATCATTATCTTTCGCAGCACTTGACTCTTTGATGTCAGCAGAGACGCTACCTAGAGGTGGTTTCACGTCAGATGATGTAGGGGTCTCCGGTACTACTCCTGGAGTTGTTGGAATACTTGAAACAGTGGGGGTTGTAGCTGGTGGGGTCTTAGACTCTCCAGGCTTGCTTGGGTCGGTGGCCGTCTGATTTGGCTGCTTTTGACTGAAATTATCAAATACGTTATTGGATATGCAGTAAAAATCAACACTTAGACTGATGTAATTCGTTCTTAATTTTCAGACACAATTAGAATCATGCATATCTGTTTCATTAGAATACAATAGTTAAACTCATATTTGTATTGTATGGCATTTAATACCATGCTAGTGTCTTGATATTACAAAATTTATCAGGCAGAGCTTAGAAAAACAGAAGGGCAACGCTTAGCTGCATGCAGAAATATGCCGAGGTCACAAGAGAGGATGTGATATTTAAAAATTCTATTTGATTCAAAGTTCATCAGATCAGTTTAATATTTTCAAACTAGTGAGAGGTAAAAACATTTAATTATCTTCATTTTCTTACAGTATATTTGATGAGATGTCTGCTTAAAGCTGAGGGTGACTGATGAAGCTGTATTCATCAGGCATGTACTTTATCAACAAAAATCAATGTTATGATATGATAAAAAGGACAATCTTTGCAGGACATTTTCAATAGAATGCAGGCATGAAGTTAGGTTTAAAACCATTTAACACAGTAATATGAATCATTTCCATGAATGCCATAATCAATACTTCTCAAAAACTGTATAATACAAAGAAAAATAAAATATGACTCACTAGCACGCTAATACATCTCTATTATATTTTATCATATTCTATGGACATCTGTTACCAATCACATCTACATTATAATGAGTTCATAAAAGTTGATAAATAAATTAAAACGCTTGAACAAGAGTTATCATTAAGTGTAAATACTTTTATGAATTTATGTACAAGACTAGCAGTACTCTTTCTTGCATATCAGATAGGATTATCTACTGTTAACACCGATTCTAGAAAAACTTCATCTTACATCTCTACTCCCCTGCCCCCTCCACTGCCATCCCTGCCCCCCCCCCCCCAATCTCCCTAACCGTGTAAGACAGGTTGAGTGCTTAACATGACGTCACTCCTGCATGCCTTTCATGAATAAATTGCACCGACAGGATGACATAATTTTTCTGTAATGGCTGAAGTTGTAAATTCATATGCTACTACAAAAAAAATATAAGAAAAAATTGTGCTACCGGAAAATATTAGTTTTCGTAATTCCTTTCCGAAATATGACTACTATTTAATATGCAAGAAAAAGAATTAAATATCTGCAGTCATCACTGACAGGAATATCTAGCTCTCGGACAACTGTTTAGTGGAAACTCGTCAGAGCCTCGTTATCGCCGTAAATTGTTACCCTCGAGCTAAATATTCCGGTCTGTACCTATGTGTAGCCAGTGTAAGATACTTAAAGTCTGTAATTTTATAACTGTCCATAACATGAAGAGATTCTGGTAACAAAGTATAAGAAGATTTAGACAGCCTACAATGGTCTTTAAATCTGGAGTTTTCTATCTATATTTGAGGGGGATTCCAATATCTATGTAAACTATAGTCTCCGATATTGGAACTGTCCATTCTACAAACTTGACCAGATTTCAATATCATTGCAGACCTACAATGGGCTTTAAATCTGGAGTTTTCCATCCTTATTTGAAGGGATTTCAATACCAATGTAAAACTATAGTCTTTGAATTTTAAACTGTCCATTCTAACTTGAAAGGGAGCTCAATATCACTGTACTTAAAACAAGTGAACACTTCAGGGATTTTTTTGAGCTTATTTTATAGCCAATATTCAGTCATATTCCCAATAAAAAAAGAGTATATTAATTCCCAAATACAAAGAAAAAAATTCCCAATTGATAATTACAAAATAAAAATATTGAATTAAAAATTCTAAAATCTTTGAAAATATAGGCTTCTTCCCTGTCATAGTACATAAATGATTAAGATGTCATCCTAGACACTGATTGTTTGCACTCATTTAATCATTGCAAAATTTCAGTCATGCATATTTTACCCAATTTTTTACAAAACATCGCTGAAATTCCCAATTCCATGGGTTTGGGATCCTGGGCAAATACCCTGCAGTTTAAACTGCAAGAACATGCACTCTGACCTTTCAACATTCTGACCAGATTCTATACTATCACCACTTGTGTTAAAAGGATTATCCTGAAAATCATTCAACCAGAAAACCTGTGTAATATGCAACATTCTGACCAGATTCTATAATGCTTTCACAAGCATGTCACTATCACCACTTGTGTTAAAAGGATTATCCTGAAAATCATTCAACCAGAAAACCTGTGTAATATGCAACATTCTGACCAGATTCTATAATGCTTTCACAAGCATGTCACTAACACCACTTGTGTTAAAAGGGTTATCCTGAAAATCATTTGACCAGAAAGCCCGTGTAATATGTACATGTACTTCAGCTACATATCAATCCAGTAAAGTTTCAGTGAAATTGCCTAAGTAGTATAAGTGGAGTAGTCCGGACAAACTTTAAAAATAAAATCATTTAAAAGGCCATAACTCCAACAAAATTATTTGAACCAGAAAATGCCGAAAATATGCACAACTGGACTTGGTACTGAGCATTCCTGTAAAATTCGTATAAAATTGCACTGGAGTAGCCCGCACAAGTTTTGTGATGGATGGACAGAAAGATGGGCACATGATGGAGAAGTGATCCCTTTATGTTGCCACTACTCTGTAGAGACAACACAAAAAAACTTACCATTTTGACAGTATCTGTGGCAACTGTATCTTGGCAATAGTCTTAAACTTGAGTACAAACACCTCTAGCATCCTCATCAGCAACTCTCTGCCCTGTATTATAAGGAAAAATATTACATTAAATATATACATTCAAAACTCAAAATCAGAAAATATCGTGCACACAAAATGAAAATAAAACTTTAAAGTATTAAAGCTGTAGTAAATTTTAATTGGATCATTCAGATTTTTTTTTATCTGCAAACGTATATAAGGAAAAAAACGTCTTGATTTTAATAGGCTAGGATCTTACAAGGTGCAAAGGTTTAGATTAATATGGATCCAGTGAAATTCACAAGAACCAAATACTAGTATTAGATAAAGATACACTTTTACTAAGCTTTTCATTATGTACTATGTAGAGTTTAAATGAAATATTCATTCATAAACTTTTTTTTTTTTTTGGTTGGGTTTTACGTCACACCAACACATCACTGGTCATATGGCGACTTTCCAGCTTTAATGGTGGAGGAAGAACTAATAAGCCCTTCCCTGAATTATTTCAGGCATGAGTGTTGAGCACCAGAGTAAAACCACCAACGTTCTGTAAGCTAGCTAGATAACTTCCTCACATGACAGCATCCCAAGTCCCTGGTGTGACTTGAACCTACATTGGTGAGAGGCAAGTGGTTTTAGGTAAACAACCTTAACCACCTGGCCACGCGTCTCAAACATAATGGGTATAACATACAGCAATATCAATCCAAATCACACATGTGTGTGTCTACCAGTTCCTTTTTGTTAATGTGATTGATGCATTAACCATTAAATCATGAGCATTAAATG